AAATTTTTTCGTGCTTAAACTATTTGGTCTATCTATGTTTATTATGGACCGATTCATATGTAACTTTCCAAAATTGTAGTGATATTGGTAAGGTATATTAACGCATAAGTATTTTTATAATTTATTATATTAGTTTGCCAGTATGTCAGTCTTCGTATATAGACATAATTTGGGGTAAGAAGTTCCTTCCTGACGGGGCTGGTTGTTCCCCGGAACAACTTACCCCAATTTACCTTCGTCGTATACCTAAAATACTTTAGACCTTGTTTTTCATTTTAAGGATGCGAAATTACAATCATAAGACAGAGGAAGGTAAACCCTCCGAGACTCCTCCGAGATTCTTTTAAACTGTGGCAAAAGAACCGGAAATTTGCTGAAGCTGACTGTTTCACTGGATATAACAAAAAAATCTATTTTAACTGACACGCTAGACAAAATGCGTTAGTCGAAGAATAGAAAAAGAAGAAGACAAAAAAGAATGAAGAAATTGCAAAGAAAGGATAAGAAAAAAAACAAACAAAATAGTAAAGGAAAAGATAAAACCAACGGGAAAGGGAAAGGAAAATCTCAAGGAAAAGCTAAACGAAGAGTGTTACAACAAAACGAGACTGACATGTAAGCACGATCTAGAATGGTACGGTATAATTTGTTGTGATGCATATACTCAAATTTTCGTCCAAGAGAACAATGGATAGAATGTATCATGTGTAAAAATTGGGCTCGTATCAAATGTTTAGAGGCGTACTTATGTGTGTCCCAACTGTGAGTCAGATAAAGAAATGAGTGTCGAATAAGATTCCTGATGAATGAGAATGGAGATTGCCAAATTTAATTACACCTGATTAACGTAAGACTGATATAATGAATAATTTAAACAAATAAAAATAAGTTAATTTGGAGATTATGTTTTGTTGTTTCTTGAAGTCAAGTTATGCATCTGATAAGATTTATAAGTTGATAGATCTCCATTATATGTTAACTAAGTAAAGAAACGTTTATCTGGAGCTCACCATTTAGGATTTGTTGTTTTTTAAAGTTACAAAAAGTTTATCTGGACCAGTAATATTTTGTACCAGTAATAGTTTGTTGTTTTTTTAAGTTTATTTTTGCTTAACTTAAACATTACATCATAAATATATAGAAATGGTTGTTTTATTTTATAAAACCTATGTTATTCGGATAGATTATTGTTATAATCTAAGTGGAACAATTTGCCCCAACGATGGAACAACTCGCCCCAAAGCGGGGCTGAATGTTCCGCTCCGAAATTTGACAAAAAAATGCTTCTGTAAAAAAAACTATTGAGATACTAGTATAAATGACTATAATATTACAAAAACCAATAAACATCTATTCAATATTTGCACATGTTAAAAATGAAACTCTTCATTTTTATAATAAAATTTCATGTTACTTAAAAATCGGAACTTCCAACCCCGCTCTCCCCTACTCACATTAGATATATAGAATTGAATGTTTTATTTTATATATCGCTATAAAAACTAAAAAGTCGTATACCTAATATAATTTTTACCCACCTACTTACCTCTTTCCCTTAATTAAATAGTAAAACATTAAAGTATTTACATATATAGGTATACTTACCTATGATGTAACGTAATCTATAGGTACTAATATTATAAAGAGGTAAAGTTTGTGAGTTTGTGACGTTGTAGGGGGTAATCTCTGGATCTACTGAACTGATTTAGATGAAATTTGGTAAGAAGATAGTTTGAGAACCTGGGAAAGACATAGGATACTTTTTATCCCGGAAACCATCCCTTAAGGGGGTGAAAATCGGGGTTGAAAGTTTGTATTGGGGAGCAAGCTAGGGACGAACCCGAGCGAAGCGAGGGTGAGTCGCTAATATAAATATAGAATTAGGTAGGTATATTATCAACTCATTAAATATATTTTAAATACATACTTACTCATAATTCATAAAACTAGTTGTAATGCTTGAATAAAGGTTTGGCAATAATCCTTCGTTTTTCGACATAATCGCTCTATTTTACATACAACATGCTTCTGCATGTTGCACGAAAATAGCTATACCTACATCCTTAACATTTTTAGGGTTCCGTACTCGAAGGGTGCCAACGAAACCCTATTACTGAGCCTGCGCTGTCCGTCCATCCGTCTATCAGAGGGCTGTATCTCATAAACCGTAATAGGCAGAGAGTTGAAATTTTCAGAGTATGTATTACTATTGCATTTTTTTTAACTACAAATAATAAAAATAAATAAAAATACAAGAAACATTTTTTAACGTTCGTAATCGATCATTGAAGTTAATATACTAAGTACATACATAGAGTCAAAGTCATATTAATGATAAGAAGGTACATGCACGATGGTACGGAACCCTTCGTGTGCGAATTCAACTCGCACTTGACCGATTTTATTTGTTATTAACTAGTTAGTCGCTCTCTTTTTACTTATGCGCTTCTTTATGTACATATACCTTTTCGACTTTAATATTATAACATTGAATGATATGGGTATAGAATTTTATATTAGACTAGCATTACGGTAATATTATGCATTACATTAACGTGCTAGCATTGCCCGCGGCTCCGCCCGCGTTCAGATGACCAAAAACCAAATTCTTAGGTTTTACATATTAGTATACTCTTTATATTGCAGTTTTTGTATTTTTTTTCAGAAATGAGATATTTTCACGCGGTAAAAAGTATCCTATATGTTGACCCGGATAACCAGCTATCACCATACCAAATTTCATCAAAATCCCTCCAGTGGTTTTTCCATGATGCGGTAACAGACAGACAGACAGACAGACAGACAAACAGACAGGCAGACAGACAGACAGAAAGACAGACAGACAAAAATTCTAAAAACTATAGATTCGTCCTGTGTATCGATAATAATGTCTATTTCAAAAAGATTTTCCAAAAAATATTTCATGTACAGATTCGGCTTAGTTACAATTTTATTATATGTATAGATCTACACATTTACTTATAAACAGTCCTAAAATACCTCGGTTATAATGTTTGAATAATAAAGATTAAGTAGCTTGTGATGTCTTCATATAAATATACATATTTGTTTTTATTTCAGACGTTCATTAAAATGAGAGATCAAATACGACGCAGCATCGTTAAGCTCAATGGCATTTATGATGGCGCCCGCTGGCGATTATCACTCCGATGTCGTTAGACCCCTATAAAAGTAGACAATGCCCCTTACTCTGTTTACTGAGAAAGGGCTTACATTAAACAACAATTAAATTATCATAATCTAGTTAGTTGCTACTCTAATAATAACGGTATCTCGTCTTATCCGTACCCTATTAATTATCTATTGTTTAATGTTTTATTATTGTATCCTTATAATCTCTGACCCTACTCCGTGTAGAGTGGGAATAGAAATTAGTTAAATATGATTTGTAGATACCTACTCCATACATAATAATCGACTTCTTATAGAACATAGTATGAACACGTTTTACGATCGGCTTTTTGCTTTTATAGCAATCCCAATTAAGTACTCAGGCCTGAGGCATTTTCTTTTTGGACTGATATTACTTAGTCCCAATATTCCATAATAGTACAGTACCTGGGCTACCGAGCTTCGCTCGGAGTTTTTGGCCTAAAGTAAAATTTATTTTTTAAACTAATCACTTAAATAAATATTAAAAAACAAACAAAAATAAAAACATTGAATGCGACCGAGATTCGGACCTGGACACCTGTGATTGTTGATCTTGCACCATCGATATTTTGCGTGGAATAATGTAAAAGAAAACTGCATGAAAACTCGAAAACACGCATTTTCGCAGATACAAGACTAAATAATCTAGATCGATTTATCGCCCCCGAAATCCTCTATATACTAAATTTCATGAAAATCGTTGGAGCCGTTTCCGAGATTTAGATTGTATATATATACAAGAATTGCTCGTTTAAAGATATAAGATAGATAAATAGGTAGTAGGTACGAACCTTAGAGTATTATGTATACTCTAAGGTACGAACTTACACGAGGTTAGATTAGGATTTTTACCCACACGTACACTTTTTCTTTGGAGGCAGATTGTGATTTGACTCTTGTCCTAACACAAGAAATTATGAATTAGAATTTTAGAATATATCCGGGGAGACTGTTTATAGGTATGTGTAAATTAAAACTAGTAACATAGGCATATATTGCTTGACCAGGGTGGCACAAATACTTTCCATATCACGGTTTTCTATTTCGGATTCACCTCGGCCTTACGATGTTCGCAACTCACTGGGTCCATGATAATATACCTATATAATACATTTAATTACACACGCTTTTCCAACAAATCGCTGCGTAAAAATATTAACATAATTTGATCATCATCCATGTAAACCTTAAAACGAAAATATCTTTCGCTAAAGGGGCAGTTTCTATTTCATGCACGTTTCGTCCTTGCTGAGTTGACAGTCCAGTGGTTAGACGATAAAGTAGCTATTCGTGTAATCGTTCTGCTTTTTTGTTGTTCATTTAATATTTATAGTTGCTTTACATTATTATTTCATTAAATTTTATTCGTGGAAATAAAGCATTAATAATTTTTAAACCTTTAACTTGTAAGACATATTAAGTACCTAATTGAAAAGTAAGATTACGAGATGACGAGTGGAAAAACAAAAATTCCGGGATAAAAAGGCTGGACCGATTTTGACGGGACTTTCACTGGATAGCTGATGTTATAGGGAGTAACATACTTTTATTTTAGAAAAAGAATAAGGGTTCCGCTCAAAAAAATTAAAACGTACCTAGGGACGAACCCTAGCGAAGCAAGGTGATTCGCTAGTAACAAATAAAAATTTAAGAACTGTATAAATCTTATTTCATTAATAATACTTTTTTAATTTTAAAAATAAACATTAATTAGTTAGTATAAAAGTTAAAAAAAGACGAAGAGAAGAGAGAGAGAGAGAAATATAATAGACGCTATAGCATATCGCTAGTACATATCTATGGTTGACACTTGACCGTTTATTTTACACGTACTGTAAGCTATGCACTGTGGCGCATCTAAATTTTTTTAAAGCTCTCTCGTACCGTAAAGGATTTTGATTGTAGTAGAACTGAATAAAATGATATTTAACTATATGTAAACATCAGAAGACCAAAATAGATGTGTACTGTTAATAGATTTCTATAGAAAAGTGTTTAGCCCTTTTGATATTACTACCTATACACGCGTTTTTTTTTAAATTTAACCATTTTTCAAAATGTTTTTATGTCTCACTTTCACGACCTATTCCACTTCCACTATCAAAATTGCTAATCTAATGACTTTTTTACATATTCACAGTATAAATAATTCTTTAGGCATGCAATAAAAGTATCTACCTATTCTTTTTTAGTTTTTATTTTAATATAATTTTAATTTCCTTTTAAATACGCTATATTAAATAAGTAAAATACACTTCTAAGAAATTTACTTAACTACGTACTATTGACGAAAACGAAAGGCTTTTAGTAGGTAATACAATAATCTGGAAAACGAGGTCACGCAAAAATGTAATAAGAAATAATATCTGAATACGATTTAGTGTATCGATTAGAAATTAACTATTAGTACAAGTTTAAATGCTTAAAGCTCAGTACGAGCTATTAAATTTCTGTGCCTGCATTTGTTAAAGATTACATAAATTATTTTTAGTTCTAATTTAAATAAATAATGGATAAATACATTTTAATCGATATAAAGTAACCTTCCGATTGGTTTTTCTACAAAGGTAAAATACTAAGATTAGCCGTTTATACGGAGATGATGCACAAGTGTAGGTATGTGTAACTACACGTGGACTCTATTTTTTTCACTGTACAGTCCGATAGAATGCCAAATAGTTACGACTCGGGACAATCCACGTTATACGACATAGGTAGATTGCTGCTTAAGCTCTTCGAAACATGAAGATGTGATACTGCCAATATCCCAACTCTGAGCATTATTGACGATTTTTTGATTGGAACCGCGGACTTCTGAATTTGTAGCCGTTGCAACTTAACCACTAGACCAACAAGGTAGCTATAAGGTATACATAATATACTAAAATGTAGAAGGGGTAAGTCACCAATTATAGGGATGGTCATTTAAAAAAATATGTTTTAAGGATGGGCAGGGCTTTTTTGACTATATGAACGCGCATTACTCAAGACCGATTTTAATGGGACGCTTTTTAAATTTATTTTACGGTAGTTTCATTATAAGGTTCAATCGAAATAAATATTTGAGATTGCTTCTATTCTCTACGGAGGCCGTCCAGTGACATGGAGTACCTACATGTGTCTCACTGGCACTGTCTAATGCGAAAGTGCGTGTTTGTCCTCTTATCACGTGGCAACAGAGTAACCAATCGACATGATTGTTTGCATAAGATACGTAATAAACTAGAGAGTAACATATGTCTTTGTTTATTTAAAATTTATGTAAATACTATATATATATATATATATATATATATATATATATATATATATATGTATAACTGGTCGTCAAGAGATAATAATTAGGTAAACCATTTGCCAGAAGTCACAGAAAGAAGCGAGTCGTATATGGGGTCGTAACTCGTTAGATAAATATTAGATTTATCGCAGATAAATATAAAATTTGAAACAATTTACTCAATAAAAATTTAATAATCATCCGCGTATTGCTACGGCGCAATAAAACGAGACAACTTTGGGTTATTCAACTTTATGGAATGTGGATATTTTTATCAGTGTTAAAGAGATATAGGAAACGAGTTCAGTAATTGTAGTCCCTAGTTGTAGTGCATCATTGTAACGTGGTTGCCTTGAAGTAGCCACTAGCCGCATACTATTCATACATACGCATTCAACAAGGTACTCTTCCTATCTCTACCAGTCATTACGGTATACATAGATACGTATACTGTACATCTGTTCGGTATACAGTAGTTATAAAGACTACAAATAATAATTGATAAGCAAGCCATTGGATGTTCAATATGGTTTGGAAATATGAGTGTCCAATATTTTTCAACTACTGGCTATGAATAAATTTGTATTTGAAGTATTTAAATTATAGTACTTTATTGTTTTTTGCAGTATTTTATTTTGAAGGCGAATAATAAAAAAATATGTATGGAAAATGCAAATAATAAAAAAAGGAGGCATAGTGCACACAAAACATTAAACAGTTTGAGAACGGTTTTATTAATATTCAAATTATTTTATTATTCTCTATCAAAAATTAAATCACAATGTGTTCATATGGTGTAATATGTAGAAATTAAAGAATTTCATACAATTTCTTCTGCACACATCTTCTTTAGGTAAATATTGGCGGTGAACTAACTTGTTTTAAAATAATAGCTCCATTAGTTATTATAAACATTTGACTACCTTATCTTCATAATATTACTTCATATTTTAATTAGAAGTGCATAATACATTCTTAGATTTACACGAATATTTGACATTTTAAATAAAACTATCTTTTCACGGGAGAGTCTCTCCCGTGACCTTACCTTTAAAAAAGTAACAACATAGTATTATTATTTTTAATCTATTATAAGCGTTATTATGATCAAGGCGGATTAAAAAATAATAATAATAAGGAATTAATATTTCACAGAAAATAACACGTGTCACATGAGTAAACTACTTTTATAATTTTGATCTAATAAAAAATAAATTTGAGCTAAATCCTGAAATAATGAAACTCTATTACGTAAAAAAATATTGAATGTAAAATATCATTTGGGACATTACAAGCAAATATTGAATAATATATAAGTAGGTACGTATGACATCGATTGAATTATAAACAATGTAAGACATGTTTGTAAATCAAACATACGATAATATTTACTAACCTGACGTTCAAATGGAGCTCCGTGAATGGGAACACACGCGGCCATGCCACGGCGGCGGTCCCCGCACACTGCCTGAGCGCTCCGGACCGCGCCGCCAGAGGTCGTCTCTTTCCAACAGACCATCGATCCACCCCTCATCACCCCTTCCCTACGATCCCTCTATCATCTTATTTCAACGCAATAAGATCTATATTCCCAGCATCCCAAACTACAATTCCCTAGTGGTCCTTACTGACGTAACGCTAAGCTTAGTGACGCTGATTGCCGAGCTTTATGTTTTTACGGACTGCATTAAGTGCTGTTATTATGTCTCAAGTTAAATCCATTTTACTTAAGCACGTGACAGGTTTCGAGGGGTAAAATGAAAAAAAAAAAACGAATAAACAAACAATTTAACTTTATTTCGTATAGTAATTGATAAATCACAACATCACTACATTCGTTTCGCAATACAATAATTATATATAGAATTAATTGACCAATATGTCAATTTTGCGCACTTGATTGTATATTGTACAGTTTTTAGCTCTCTCTGAATATGTTAATACATACCTACTATTTTGTTAATTAACGCTTTAAGATTTTTATTCCTTGAATAATGTTGTATGTAACATAATATATCACCAAATTAGGTAATTCACAAATATTGATCTCGTTAATTTTTTCATCTTTTCCACGGGTTATATATACTTATAGTATATTTATAATACACCAACATTATTTCTTAAAATAATTTAAAAACAAAACTGTCCTTTTTTATATATTCTTCGCAGTTTTCGAGCATCTGTACTCGGTCCCATTAGATTATACTTTACTATGTCCAATTGTCCATATATTATATATGTTCTTAGAATATATAAATATGATATGTTTTATCTCTTAATGAGTTCTCTCAGTTTGAAAAATTGTTTTAGTTCGCCATTTATTTTGACTTTTTGACTTTGACTTGAATTGAATATGACAAAAAATATAAATTATATTAAAGGAAGACCTTATGATTTATTTATTGCAAGATGTATAACATTACCCGAGTCTATATTAACCGTAGAGTATTTATGGTTTTTTAACATACAATTATCTATGACTCGTATTAAAAATGAATCTTGTGCTATGCCTCACATAAAAAAACGTGTGTATGTAGGTACTTATGTACGCACATAAGAAGTTATACTTCTTTGGCGGAACAGAACAAAAATATTTAAATGTTTCATCCCGTGTATCACAACTTTCTGTTTGTCAAAGGAATGCAGCTAACTTCATCATGTTGCTTTCAGCTAACTTCATCTTATCGCTTTTTGGCTGTAAGTGTGCGCGCGTATCGTAAAAGCTTTACTCTCATATTTTTTTCCAAACGTGCCAAAAGAAGAATAACTTCAAAAATAAAACATTTTCAAATTTACAAATAAATACGATAGTAATATAAATCTTACAGTTTTTACACTAATAAAGTAAATAAAATATGAAAATGGAATTTATTATATTAATAGCTACAATTATATACATATAAAAATTGTACTTTGCTACCTACTTAATTTTTTGTGTACCTACTTTATAAAATTGTCACTAGTGTCAGAACATGTCATATTACGATAATTTTCATGCCACAATTAAATTGCGTATCGATCACTTATTGGCTTAGATTATGGTATATTCATACTGTTGTTTGTAAGTCTGTTACTCCAATCAAATATTTTTATAAATTAAATGGGATGTTATTGTTCTTTGATTTGTTATTAATTAGTTTTTCTTCACTTGACAGTGCAACGTCAACTGAATTAAATGAAGAACATATTTTATATTTTCTTCTATCCCAATCGTTGACTAAGTAGCTCTATAGACCCGCAGTTAGGTTAACTACGTAGAGGCAGTGTACAGTGTACACCCCTGTTGTTCTCGCAATCAGGGTTACCGTTTGATTAAATATGGGTAGATAGAATAGAGGTAGGTTCTTTAGATTTTGTGTGAAAAAAAAAGCGTCCGAATACAGGTGAGGTGTACAAGAAGTTATTTAAATACATTTTTTAATTAATTTGAGAAAACAAATCTTTCAAAAAAGTTCGATATCACCTTAAATTTCTAAGCTGATAAATACTAAAAAATATTAAAGCTGTCACTTTCCTTTAACCGGGTTTTATCTTAATACCTCGGTATTGTAATTTAATTAAAAAAAATATATATAAAAATATTGTAAAGTAGAAAATTCATAAATGGAAACGAAGAAATCAGAAATGGAATCTTCTATTAGAGGTACTAAGTCAACAATTCCAAAAGTCAGTCATAGGGGTGACAAATATTTTGTAGGTATAAATTTGTTTCATTATTAACGTCAGAATACTATAATATCATTCGTATTATAATTTTGTGAGCACAAATCTCAGACAAGAAGTAAGATAGATTGAACCTGCAGAACAAGTGGTTAATGCCTGAAATCGTCTTTTATTCCTTAGTACCAGGTTTTGTACTCTTGGAACATTCAGAACATAGCATCAGGACGCTTAATTTTTAACGTACTTTAAAAAGGAAGAAGTCTTCATTCTGGTGTTTTTTGTGAATGTTGCGAGATATATTTGTCAATTGTCGATTTAAATGTCATTTTTTTTTATAATTAGGTACGCCATACTGGGTGTAGTTCCATACAAATTTAACAAAATGATTTTTAAGATTTTTCAGCCAGTATAACTTTATAGTTAAAAAATGATGATAACCCATCACATCATATTCTTTTAGCCTGAGATTAATATGTTAACGAAATAGCAGAATTATATAATAAATAAATTAATGTCATACAATCTAAAATCATCGTTTAAAATATGAAATCGAAGTTACTCGTAACATCCATTTTCAACATCTTATCATACGTAAACGTGAACAAGTTTTGATTTTAATTAAATTAACTAAAATTGATTGTCTTGCACTTTGTACAATATATATAGTGTACCTAATTGTTTTATGTTATAACACGGCAATATTACATACAGTATTCCATCTTCATACAAACGGTCGGAAATCGAGTTATACCTACGCGCTTCGCGTTCGGTATACACTCGGTAGACAACCGTGCGGGGCTGCTAGATCATATAATTGAATACGAAAATTGTATAACGTGGTAATGTTACGTAACTTTTATAATTTGATACAAAAATAAAGATTTTATTCCTCACGTAACTTCGCTAATGTCAAACAAAAAAGTATCGAGACATCGTATGTTTTAAAAGTAAAAATTAATTAATTAAATTAAAAATAAAAATTAAAGTATTTTTAATTAAACGTTTTATCCGAATGCGGATTCTTTATACTATTAAATTTAACAATAAAGCTTTTCGTACGTCTCAGTCGAGGCGCAAATATTTTTAAATCTCAAATTTATAAGGGTCACACACCATCCTTATAAATTTGAAACTTTTAATTAAATCTAATAATAATAGTTTTTAAATAAAAAATATAATATTTGAAATCACAAAATTAGAAAGAAACTCAAGTAGGTAGATGAAATTAAAATACTGGCCGGCGGGCAGCCCTGTCGCGTGGGTACGTGCCGCTCGGCTATAGGTAATTATTTCAAGGACAGGGCCGAGTTGCAATACTGTATGCATTACATTACCGTGGTTATAATGTCGTAAATTCATGTCTTTTATGGAAATGTCGCTTAGTCACCTACATTCTAAACATCATCTTACTATAATATACATATAATATATACAAAAATATACATGTAATTATATATACATGTACATACATACTTCTCAATTGTTAATAAATATGATCGAGCGCGACATATATTTCAATATAAAACGATCTTTACAAATACGCATGCATTTCTAGTGACATCTTGATTTACATTCATTAAAATTATTATTATTGCAATGGCCAATGAGAGAATAAGTCGTTAATATAATAGCTAGCTATCTAGTAGCTTAAATAATAATTATCACAAGTAATACTTATAAAACTAATACATTATTCCAAATATTATAATATAGCCTCTTGAAAATGTATTACTGGTACTAAAATCGTCTGCAAAAATGATTAAGGCCTTTTTGACATTGACTCTAGAAACGGTTTTTACAGGAAAAAAAATGGAAAGTTTGCTCGGAAAATTGGGAAATTGGCAAAATTGACAGTGCTTTTTTAATTGGATTTTTGTATCAAACATCAACTCAAAGATCACAAATTTTATTACAATTTAGACAGGACAACAAGTAGTAGGAAGGCTAGTTCTAATACAAGTCTAATCGTTTATCTTTATATATATAATTCTTCTGTGAGTGTGTATGTCACTGAACTTCTCTCAAACGACTGGACCGATTTTGATGAAATTTTTTGTGTGTGTTCAAGGGGATCTGGGAATGGTTTAGATTCACAATTTGAATAATAATTTTCATCAAAAAAATTACTAAAAAAAGTTTGAAATTTTCAAATTAAAGACGTGTAGACAGGACAACGTCTGTCGGGTCCGCTAGTCTGCTATAATACTGAAATGGGACATTGCAGACGATTCTAGTAGCAGTTATATAAGTTACTAATAAAATTTAACGTTCGTAACTTATAATAACCCGATGACTACAAATACTTACAAATGCCTCTCAAATGTCGTTGTCTTGACAATATATGAGAAAGAATCAAACACGTAGATTTTCTAGGCACATTTTTGTAATATTAAAAATTTCAATGTGAAATTTTTCTCTTACAAAAATACTTCTAAAAATCTTAATATTTTTAGATATAAAATATACATATTATGTACTTCATTGTACTCGACATATTTTATCACATTTATTATAATGCATTTCACAGCGATTTTTAATCTTAATATGTAATACAACAGCAAGATTCAAAGACTTCGTTCGAGTTAGCGGATAAAGTGCGGTCCATCTAGTATTAAGTGCTTAGTATAAGAAAATCGCTTAATCAACGTATCTAAGGATACACGAGTTTTAAGAAACGAGAGTATAGATTATAAGAAAAAATCTACTTACTATCAGTAACACGGTTGTCAGTTGTTAACCGAAATTACTAGTTCGGTTGTCATAATTATTAAAAAATAAATAAAAAAGAGACAATACTTTCTTAGATTTACGCGAATATTTGACATTTTAAATAAAACTATCTTTTTGGATTATTTTGCAGATTTATTTTGATTTTATGGTTCCCGACGTTTCGAATGCTTTACAGCACGGTGACGGGAGAGACTGAGGTATTAGATGTCTCGAAGGTATAGTTGTTACAGACAGACTACCCACAATTAACAAAAATATTGTAAGGCACTTTACATTCGAAACGTCGGGAACCAAAAATCAAAATAAATCCGCGAAATATTCCGAAAAGATAGTTTTCTTTAAAAAAAGACACAATTAATATGACCATTTAATATTCTCATATTTTGGTAATAATAATTCAAACAACCGAGCTATTAAGATAAACAAATATTATAAATTCGGCTCGAGTATTAACAGAGCAACCGACATTAAATATAATTTATGTACCTAATTTATACCTAATGATAGGCAAATAGCTGTTTTATGAAGCTTATTTATCAGCACCTTTGACTCTTGTCATTTAATAAGAAAATATATATCAAAAGCCAACAAATTTTGAGGATAGATACCAATTTTTTACTAAAATATAATAAAATAACAAACTTATTTTCAATTCAATTGATCTTATAAGATGTTAGTAGTGCCTAACGACGTCATTAAATTTTGAAATATAAATACGTATTGTAAATAAGAATAACGTTTTTAAATACCATAATGTAATATCTTTGTACATATACTTAACAAACAAGTGTTGTAACATCGAAGAGTAATAAAAAATATCAGCATGAGAAGTAAGCACAATTATTACTTAAATACCATTATAAGCAGTGCTGGATTTAAAATTCAGATATTTTCACACCACACTCAGCGTTTCGAAAATTTTATAGAAAAAAATCTAAATGAAGTTCTCATGCATCCTAGTCGTTGATTGCAAATGACAAAATCTCGTAGATTCTGAAATGAATCATTTTTGAACTTCTAAAATTTACTTTCAACCATCCCTATCCTTCACCACGTCCCTGCGCAGTTATATCAACTTTAACTAAAATATGATAGGATGATGAAGTTATTACCCATAAAATGTATGTGGAACTTAAAAATATATATTATATATAATATATTCACAACTCTCCTGAGTATTAAGAACATAATCGCGTAAAAATGTGACGAATCCCTTAAGTGATCATTAAAAATATGAGAATACCCATATAGGTAAATCCAGCACTGATTATAAGATGATTTGCTCTATTAGGATAAATACTTAGAAGTATTTAAGATAAGAGCGCGTGCTTAACAATATAGTTTGAAAAAAAATGAAACTAAAATGGCTCTTGTCATTAAGTGTCAAGTGACTAGCGCCATCTTGGATCAACTTGATGAAAACTAATAAAATAGGCCACAGGAATGTACATAAACCAAACTGTTACTCTACGATTACGACTTTTACCGGTGTATATAATAGTTATATACCCTATTAATTTTCATTTAAATTAAGCAACGTCCCATAACTGGATGGGTAACCAAAAAACTAAAACCAGTTTGACTATGGATCAACGTTAATGACTAGCCAAGTTTATTTATTGTAGAGCACCAAAATTTGTCGTAAACTAAATTCTCCTGTTCCCAAACGGCTCGCCTATAAGCCACATAACAAAGAATATAAACATTAAATTCCGCTTAAGGTAGCTGCTGTATGATAATAATTTTTCCAATGGATATTTATAAAACCAAGTAAACTTTATCTATCAATTGATATCAAAAACGTTGATTATCATCTTCAGAGATAGATGACGTCACTAGGTGATTAAAAATAACAATAGTAAAGTACCAATCAGCGTGGCCAGTGCGAGTCGTCATAATGCGAGGCCGGCGTGGGGCAGCAGCGAGCGCTATAAGTCCGTCTCCGTCCACTGCTAGTCGCCACGCCGCAGTCGACGCGCCGCCGCGGTATTGTGACGGTACAGCCACACCTGAATAAATCATTTTACTCGTTAAGGTTCTGTACACATGACAACTTTTAAACGCGCGTTTTTATCGACAAGCAATCTGCATTTTCTTAATTTATCAGCGCAGACTATATATAATATCAAAGCAGACGACGTTCATGGCAAGTGCGTCGTCGGCGCGTTTAAATCACATGAGTAAAGAAATGTCAGAGACAAAGCTTCTAAGGAGCGGACAAAATGTTTACCTGTTCTGGTAGGGTTGGCACAGGAGCATAAAATTAAATAAACGAAACGTTTATCAGCTTTTTATTAAACAACTAGGGGCTTTCCATAAATTATGTCACATGAATTTAATGATTTTTGGAACCTCCCCCTCCGCCTGGTGTGACGTCACATATTTTGCAATTTTACACCCAGAACTGAATAAAATAAAAACAGCAGTTCCAAAAATATTTTTTTAATAATATCAACATCAACAGCGTCAGCGTAGTACAGCGAGCTGCTTGCTGCCCAACGAGAATTCGCCAACAAAACAATATAAACCTTATATAGCGTAAAGAAAGATCATTTTTTATTATTTTTCGTTGGCAGTTAATGTTTTGTATTTTAAATTTTAATACTTAAGATGTTGTCATGTGATGTCACGAAACTAACCTACCCCTTGTCACACAATGTCACACTTCGTTAACCCTCTCCTCCCCCCTTAACGTGTGACGTAATTTATGGATGGCCCCCTTTTTTTTTTTTTTTTTTTTTTTTTAACGTTGGGAAATGCATTTACGCACGACGTGTGGGACTCACCGGCGTAATACAGCCAGTACTACCCACTAAAACCCAACAAAACCTTCCCCCGTCTTAATGGGGCGTCGCAGGATCGCTTACGCATTCAACTACGACGCCCCGACGGCAGGTCTGCCAAAGCAGACCAACACAACCATGGGGTTGCTCCAAGGTCCACTCTGCTATCAGAGAAGTACCAGGAGCAACCCGCATGGTATACCGCCCCCGAAGAAGGCCACCTCCCACCGCCCACCGAAGTGGGCAACCTCCCTGTGCGTTTCTTAGCTTCGCTACTACTACTGAGCCCTCCCACCACGACAAGGTGAACGCACGTTGGGGGGATGGATGGCCCCCTATGATAGAATTTCTTTTTACAAATTACTTACTCTAAATATTTTTTGTTGTAATTTTTGTTTTTCAATAATTTGTTTGTTTAATTGAACGGTAAATTCTAAAGCCAACCAATTTTTTTTAAATAATCTAGTGGAAAGCACCCGCAAATTTTCATTCTTGCACACGCATAAAACACTTTCAAACCGTAAAACGATAACAAACACGATGCACAGCGTCCAGCAGCGATGAATGAGCCCTGAGTTTGAGCACAGGACGAGCTAGTATAAACCGGTTTTTTCCGTACGCGACGAAACCGCGAGTGCTCACGCACACACGCGCCTTAAGCTTGTAGTATACCTATCAAAGCGCGATTGTACGAAGCTTTGTTTATGTTCCTTTTCTTTACTCATGTGGTCACATTATTTTATTATTATTATTCTCAACGCGGAATACGGACAGACGGCGTGCGTTCATAATAGGCGCGTTGTCGGCGCGTTTATAAAACATGGTGGACATATATACAAAATTGATACTTTCACAAAAAGCACACTAAAACGAAAAAAAAATATCTCTGTACAACAAATAATTATAATAAGCAAAAGATAAAACTCAAAATAAGAATACTGAAAAATTCTAATTCTTTTTTAATGTTGAGCTGTCAATGTTTAATGAATTAATCTTGTTAGGAAGAAATAAAAATACAGTTTATATTAATCCTAAAACTGTTATATTTTTTAACTTTTTTAATGATATTTGTTCAAAATTCGGCACAGAAAAGTTCTGGAAAAAATATCTAATTTTAATAAACACAACCATTAATAATGTGTTCGTAAATCAAACTTATTCACATATCTAGTTCGTAATTTATTGAAAAAATCACGAGTTTAATATAGTCATAAATAAATCAAGTATTTATTTTAAGAAAAAAAAAACTTAAAGCCTACACACATACTACAATGAGTCAAGTACTCGATATAAGTGCGATATATTTACTATTGCAATTTGTTAACCTAAGGTTAATGACATGATATGCGTAATTACTTGTACTTAACTGTTATCAATATTTTTATTGTGGCATTATTTTTTTCTATCAACGTCATCTTATCTGAAGCACTCATAGTATAGATAAGACTACAGCTAAGTATTATCACGTGCAGATTGTAAATTTAAATTGCTATATTTTGAAGGAAAGAAATACATTTATTAATAACGCTAAAATACATTGTTGCCATATTTTATTTCATATTGTACCAAACTGGCAAAACCTAGATCTAGTATAGAATCGACTTCGATATTAAAAAAATCACTTGCATAACATATATTTTCTTAGTAATTTATTTTGAGTTATTTGTACCAAATTCCCTTATTTATAAGTCAATTTTAGAAAGATAATTTTATTTAATTTACTTACTTGGAATAGTATAACAATATCTAACAAAACTTGTAGGGCTCCACACACCCAAAATTGTGTAGGAGCTTCTCTTATAACGAAATATGCAGTCTTGAACACATCTCCGCACGTCCACATTATGACCATGCTTACACTGAAAATAAAAAAAAGTATATTTATTAATCTTCCCTACTGTAAAAAGGAAATCTGAACTATGATGACAGAATGATGAATTATTACTTGCAAAATTGCTGCCCGAAAAAGGGCCTACGTTTTTCAGGGAAAGCAATTTTTTTTGTTTGTATAAGTCGATATTAAACATCAAATAGGATGAAGAATATATTTTTTTGAAGGTAATTTTTTTTACCTATCATAGCAATCAGTACAAGTGAAAATAATATTCAATATGTCATTTTATTGAAAAGTACGTTACACAAACGTTATCGTGTGGTGGTATGGTGGCGCTGGACGATTTTTTATGAAATTTATTACATATTTATGTATGATATAATATACCTAGAGTAACACATAGGCTGTACACTGTTAGTAATAAAATTTACCAAAGGATAGCGCTATATGTATATAATACTAGCGGCTCTAATTCTAGTAGCCTATGTGTTATTCCAGACTATCTCTCATCATCTCTCATCTCTGTGCCAAATTTCATCCAGAATCCAGATCCGTTCAGCCGTTCTGGCGTGAAAGAGTAACAAACATCCATACACAAAAACTTTCACATTTATAATATTTATATACAGATTATAAACACAAAGGGTGCCTAGGAATGCACTTGAGCAATGTGAGGGTAAATCGCTAGTCTTTTAAATATAAACAAGAGCATTACCTCATGCCTTCAGTACTTTTGTTCTGATGGTTTTTGGCTATCTGAGGAGCACCAAGCATAGCCTCAGTGAATACCGCGAGGAAGCCAATCAGCTCTACGAACGGCGAGAATTCTATTAACAGGTACGTTATAGCCGCTCCTAGCACCGAGAAAACTAGCATACAGTCTACATAACTCTGGAAGTCGGTCCACGCCCAGAAATATTTCGTGTCCATATCTGAAAAAAAATCACAGTAATAAGATAATCGTGAGTATATATGTACCTAGTTATTGGATTAGAATATGTAATACTTTTTCATAGTTAAATATGATTATTAAAATAACTATATATTGTTGATTTTCATAAATGTTCGTCATAAAGGAAGTAAGTTATATCATGCAAATTGACATTTATGGATAAGATAGTACAAACACAAGTGACCTGGTCATTGCTCCTTGAGATGATGAGATAACTATATACTAAAACAATCAATGGTTACACATGCTCGGTTAATAGGTTAAATGTTGAATTCGTAAGTAATAAATAATTGTAAATAATCGATTACTTATCTTCTGTTGAATAAAACGCATGCCACATATTGTAATACAAAACATAACAAATATTACATTACAAAATGAAACCAAGTAACAACAAAAACAAAAAAAATTACAAAGCTGTCCATTTATGATGTAAATGCACCACATTAACCAAAATGCTATGAAAACAAGCCCAAAGTGGATAGCATGACTCTTTCGTAACTGCAACAAAAAAAAAAATGACAAATGAACAAACACAAGGGTGGATCTTGAATTATACATAGAATTATATTAAAATATGACTTACCATAGAAACGATGAGGTTTCTCTCCACCTACTATGCCGCTGCGCTGCCCCAGCCAATGCGCAGTTTCATCAGGCTGAGCTGATCCATTCACACAACATAATAGGATATATAACATGAATATTGCACCTAATGTCACCATTACCACCATCCACCAAATAAAACATAAAATAAAGTTAACACATAACAAAAGGGTGAAATAGGATAGTAAACATAAAGAGCCATTCATAAAATATACTATGCAAATTTTTTGCATAGATTTCTCTTAATTTGTCATGTATTCTGCTGTTATTAATTTTATTTCGCAAAACGGTTTGTTGTGTCCATATAAATTTTCAATCATCATCGTTTTACAAACTATATATAATATAATTAATCAAAGTTTCAGCCAAATCAACTGAACAGTATTTTATAGCATTTTTGAAGTTATACTTCTTTTGGCGCGTTATGAAAAATGAATCTGGCGTGGAGCTCGCCGCATAATATATTGTAAAGTAATTCGTAACACTCGTAGTCTGGCTCAAACATAACTTTGTCGACAACAGTAGGTACGTAGACATACACGATCCAGGGGGGGGGGGGGGGCAGCTGCCCCTACCTGGGTACGCCTGGGTACGCCCATGAACCCAAGGTTCTGATATCTCAATCGTATGCTTTAAAATAAGTTGTGTCAAGTCATTACGATAATTTCTTGATTTTAACAGTCATAATAGGCCTAATACCTCCCCCCCAACGTGTGTTCATCTTGTCATTGTGGGGGTGCTCAGTAGTGCCCGACAATCCAGCCGGGCGCGAAGCCAAGAAACGCACAGGGAGGTGGCCTACTTCAATGGGTGGTGTACCATGTGGGTTGCTCCTGGTACTTCTCTGATAGCAGAGTGGACTGTGGAGCAACCCCATGGTTGTTATGGTCTGCTTCGGCAGACCTGCCGTCGGAGCGTCGTAGTTGAGTGCGTAAGCAATTCTGCGACGCACCGTTAAGACGGGGGAGGTTTTGTTGGGTTTTAGTAGGTAGTACTGGCTTTCCTAACAGGTGAGTCCCACATAACCACCCATATGGCTAATGGTGGTAACTGGTATGCGTAAATGCATTTCCCAACACAAAAAAAATAAAAAAAATAAGGCAGCTTATACCTACCTGTTAACAGGTAGGTATAATGTACTGGTGGTAGTTTAGACTTTTTAATTTCTTAGAAGTTTGTCTCACACCTTTGGCCTGTAGAAGTTCTTCCAAATGACTACACAGTAGACACAAACATATAATATTAAATATTTTGTATTCAGCCCTTTTTAACGTCCCACTGCTGGGCACGGGCCTCCCTACAATACGAGGGGGATCAGGCCATAGTCCACCACGCTGGCCAAGTGCGGGTTGGCAGACTTTACATGTCTTTCGAAAACTTGCTAGGTTCCCTCAGACATGCAGGTTTCCTCACGATGTTTTCCTTCACCGTAAGGCAAGTGGTAATCATGTTGGAAATGATTCATACATGAAAATATCAGAGGTGCGAGACCCGGGATTGAACTCGCTTCACTCGGTTTCCCAAGCGAGCGCGTTACCACTGGGCTACCACTGCCTATATTAAATAATTTAATTTTTAATATTTTTTTGTCAACACATATTGATTTTTCTTGTCACACTAATGCATTGAAAGTTCAAGATTAACATGTGCGAGGTAATTACAAAAAATAAAAGAATAGATTACCTCGAATCATTGTCATATATGATAACATCAGTTACAATCATTTTGAGAGTCATCAATAATGTTTATTCTAAATTAATTGGCTTGTTACATAAAGTGTTAGAAATAAACCAACCAAATTAAGTATAAGGATTGCAGAATTTTGACAATATAACATCACAAAAGCTACAAGCAAAAACCAAAAATAAAAACAACAAACAAAACATAAATAAACAAAGAATTTTTATTTCACTAAGATTTTTATCATAAAGAAAAAAAACATTTGAAGAGTCAAGAAATTATTTAAAAAAATTATAAAAATTGATCATCTGTAAACATAACATTTCCTTAGGGCCCTTCACCACCTTCTTATCACATATGTCACACAACATGCACATGTTGTCACACTAAGCAATTTTCATAGATACAACTCTGTCAGTGAATTTATTTCATGAATGGCCCCAAAGGCAAGGTCAACTAAAGTTGAAGGTAAAATAGCCCAATATAGAGAAATAAGTACATGGCACATTGAAGACAAATATGTATTCATCAATTATTAATTTTTATCATGTAATGTTAGTTAGCAAGTAAATAAATACTTTGAAGAAGATAGCTTAATTATAAGTTATGTCTGTTAAAAGTGCAAGTATTTAATAAAATATATTATAACGTTATAATACTTATATCAATATTAATATTACTTTTATCCAATGCAAAGTTATACCCAATAGAAAATAAATAGCCATAAACTTATTTAAAACTCACCTGTGAATATTCTATCTCTTGCTCTGATTATTTGGTTCTTTTTTCTCACTGTGACACAGAGGTGGATCATAGCAAACATTGTTGCGTTCATTACAATACTCTGTATTAACAAAGGCAACTCATATCTTTTTCCAAACCTATAATTTGAGGAAATTGCTTGAATACTAATATAATAAATACTAATATAATAAAATAGGTATACTAATATAATAAATTAGAAAGTAAATAGGTACTTCTTTATGCTACATAATCAGAATATTTGGAATGTTTTTTTTTGGTTTTAATAAGAATATTTTTCTAAAGTATAAATTAAAGAGGTTCATTAATTTGTTGATAAAGAGGATATCAAAGATATTTTGTATGAAAAATATGTTATATTGTTCTATATAATGATATTAACATAAGATGTTCAAATGAAGATAATTAAATCTGTTGTTTTGAAATACATACAAGTTTAAAATATATTTTTATATACTGTTGTAATATACTTTTTTAAATAATATAATAAAACAGCAATGATCATCATTGTGATAAATGATTATATACTGAAAAGATAATGTTGAAAAACAATTAAGAAATCTTACCAAAATAATATACGTAAAGTATTTGCTATTAATAATGTCAAACAAACATAAAGAGAAAATCCTTCAGCATCTTGAGTTTTTTTTATTTGTCTATATTGTGGAATGTATGGTGCCACACCACCTACAATCATTGCTGATGCTGCGCCCCAGCCCACTAAGTGTCCCACGGTAAGCCCCAACTCATCAGATATTATCCAATCCATTTTGATTAATGTTTCCCAGGTCAATTTTATTCTATAATATTATTTTTATGATTATTTTTAACTTGGAATAAACAAGGTTTTTGTTCATATTAAAAATAATTTAAATATCCACTTCACTCATTTTAACTCGATTAAATTTAACTATTCAAAAGAAATCTTTGTTTATGGCGTTTAGACGTATTCAAGAGACTACAAGACTACAAGTACAGAATTATGATTTGTGATTTGTGAATGACAACCACATGACAATACAGAATTTGACAAGATGATGATGAGAATTCTACAGATAAATATTATTGTGGTATTAAGGGCAGGTACTGCAATGGCAATATATTATATAAATCAAATTGCTGGTGATCTGTCTAGTAATAGTATTCAGATCTCAGACTGGTTCTAGGGGTTAATGTATTTTCACTGAATATTAATTAGTGAGGCTTTCATTAAAAATATTTTTTATTATTTATATTATTTGATTTATTTATTGAATTAATTCATAATTTCTATTTAATTATTTATTTTATGGCTTCTATGCGTGCTACTCAAGCATAAATTATATTTGGCTAAGATTTTAATTCAAATATTATTAGCCTATTCTGTTTTAAGTTAACGTGATTCGTAAATTCGTCAGCTGATTAGTAATGTCATTTTTGTTGACATTATAGTGTTATCATTTGACATTAAATTTTAATATATTTTATTAAAAAAAACAATAGCCGGCTGGAATATTCCTAGAACAACTTTATTTCACTAATTGCTAAAAATGACTTTTCTTTCAAAATTATCACCGATTATACGTGCAAATAAAGCTATTGACTTATTACCGACGACGGCAGGGCTTTCTATATTTAGATCTGTTAGATATTATTCTGCTGAAAAAGGGTTATCTAAAAGTCAAGACAGAGCCGATGTTTCGACAGATGTTAAGCCAATTGGTGAAAAAATCAAAGAGACAACCAAGACAGTTTCATATACTGGTGTTATTTTGGCTGGTGTTGGAGTAACCAGTATCTTATTTTATTACATATTTCGGGAATTATTTTCAAGTAATAGTCCTAACAGCATATATTCAGTTGCACTCGAAAAATGCAAGAATGTAAGCAGTATCATTTTACATCAGATATCAAGAAGCTAAAAAAAACAGTACCTAGATATAATGAAGCATATTTTTTTGTATCTACAGGATCCTCGTGTAGAAGATGCTCTTGGTACTCCTATCAAGGGTTATGGTGAGGAAACTTCAAGAAGACGAAGAACACATGTTAGCCATGCTGTCTACGAGAAAGATGGCATAAAACATATGAGGATGAGGTTTTATGTCAAAGGGGCTAGAAACAAGGGCATAGTTGAGCTAGACATGAAACAGGTATATTCATTATTTTGTTTTCCATTACACATTTTTATACCAAATTATTGTGCAACACAATCACTAAGTATACATGCATTTTGTTCCAGAATGAATATGGAAATTATGAATGCAGGTACTTATTAGTACAACTTGATGATTACAGTGGAAAAACCTTTGTTATTGAAGATAATCGGGCTGCATTAGATCATGCAAAGTCAGAATTTGGTAGTAATTTACCTACATTAAGTCTCACATAATTTTGTTATATCTGGAGAAGCTTTAGATAAATTGTACATTATTTAGAAATATAAGAACATGGTGTAAATAAAAATCACTTTTAGTAAAGAAAAATAATCTATTCATTTAAACAAATATTCATTATAATTTTACTATTCTTTGAAACATTGACATTTATTTTTGAATATAAAAGTTTAAATGTTTTTATTTATGAAGTTAAATTTACATATTTTTTTTCCAAGGCACTATTTCCCAAGACATAAATAACCTTTGCCTAAATACAAGTTTCTTAATTTTTTCAATTAAATGATAAAAAATGAATGCTAACGATAAGTATTGGGGCCATGCCCATTTCAATTCTTGTAAAAGACTTGGTGTATATCGTATTTGCATTTCTGGTATCCTTAAAATAACATTCAAGTCCATAGTTCCCATGTCACCATTTTGAGTTTTAAAATAAATGAGATTTACAGTTGAGATTACTGAAAAATTATAAATTTGAAATTATATTATTATAAATTTTCAAGATTTTTAAAGAAAACAAACAGTTTTAAATTTTATAATCACCTTCTCTCCTTAGGTACTCTTCTAGTATAAAATCAACTACATTTTTATTATCATTATTTATATGATAAAAAAGTGAGTCATTATATTTTGTATCTAATATATTTTTCAAGCAGGGTAGATGTGTACTTTGATATATAAGGAGATCACCATAATATTTTAAGCCATTTGGTGGAACACTGAACTCCTTGTTAATGATTGCAAGACTTTGCATTTGTAAAGGACATGTATTCTGAAAAATAATACTAAAGTTATACTTATTTGGTATTGGTATGTATAACAAAAGTTTATTATTCATATACTTAATATAAAGACTCTAATATTATACATTCTTTAAAATTTATTTTTATGAATTCTCTACGAAAATACTTTCTAAGAATTCAAAATTATCTAAGATACTACTTGAGACTACATAAGTAAATTGAATGTTACCAATATTTGGACATCAACACCTAATATTAAAATAACTGAAACCAAGGTTCTATCGCTAGGTATAATAAGTTTTATATTGAATTCCAAAATATCATTTTTGCCATCTACATTGATGTCTTCTTCTCTTACCTAAAATAAACAAATATCTATTACCATTATTCTTGGATGAATGGAAAATATACTTACAATATTGTTTTTAAAATATTAATAAAAAATAGTTAAGTATACTTCAGTAACAGCACAAAATTCTTCATTCTCTATGTCGTAATTTAAAGCAGCAGTTCGTCCACATATAACAGTAATACTTGGATCATCAGTTTCAGCTATAAGTAAATATTCATAACTTGACTGTACCGAAGGTTGCTCATAAAAATAATATGATTGCAACCAGAAGCCTTAAAAAGTAAGAAAAAGGTATATAAAACATACAAAAGACTAAATATTTATGGTCAAGTAACAGTGTAATAGTACTTATTTGTACTTTTTACCTTTACTTTTGTAAGCAATAATAAATGGTAATATAACGTTTATTAGTGCTGTTAATGCAGTAAATAATGCTGCTTTTGAGAGCAGATTATTTTTATACTGAATTTCGACATTGTAACTATAAAGTTTATATAATGCCATTTAATTGCAAGAATAAATGACTTTTAGGTTTATTTTATCACACAGTCATCGCACTAGTCGATAAGCATTCATATATTTTTATTTTCCTTAAATAACAATTAAACATTGCACATTACAAATAATGATAGTTGATAGAGCACGATGATCTGACGCGTTGCCAATAGCAACCAATCACCAAAACAATGTTCTAGTTGTGACTTATGGATATACAATGTTGCAAACACTAATATTATTAAAGGTGCATTTACATCCATTCAACAACAGGCGATTTTGAGGAAAGCAACACTTGTGGTTTGTTGAATGAGTCTTGCAACAGAGCGTCGCCGTCCTACAAAATACGAGGTGTTGATACTTGAAACGTGTTGCTTTTGTATCCACAGATGATGGGTTCATTCAACAATATTGCTTCTAAAAATCATATTTTTTGGTAATTTCGTAATTTTTACAGAGTTTTAACAAAACGTCCAACGAAAACGTCTTACGAACGCTGCCTTAACGATGAGAGATATATTATTATATTCTAGAGAAAAGTTGTAGAGCTTAATAATGCTTATAAAAAAGTCAGCGACAGCATATTATGTCTAACTTTTATATTTAAGTCACAAAAAGTAGTTTTTTATATTAAAAAAATACTTTAAATCGGTAGGTCATGTCTATTGGTCATATTATCAACAATTCTGAATTCTTATCAAAATAAGTAAATTTATCGTCTAAAATGTTTAAAACAAAAAACTTTTCCCTTATAGGTACTGCATATAATTTGGACAAAATATGGTTAAAGAGATAATACAACACATTCGTAGGTATCTATACCTATAATAAAACCACAAACAGATCTATCCCACGGGAACCGGTCATTTTTCCGAGATAAAAATAAAATAAGTAACCTGTTGTTTGACCTGCAATATAAGGTATCAGCATGCCAAATTTTACTAAATTAGGTGCATAAGTTGTTGTGTACTGAGCTGTATAAGTTACTATAATTTTTTAACTATCCCACGGGAACTCTTTAATTTTCCGGAATGAAAAGTATCAAATTTCATTTAAATAGGTTTAATAGTATCGGAGATTAGCCCGTACGAACAGACAAACAGACAGAGAAACAAAAAAATTGAAAAAATCTGGATTTGTTCTATTTCTCTCCTAGCGGGATGTAAGAAGAGAACTGACTGGTTTTTAGCAATTTTTTCTACCATCTATGTACAGACATTCTACCTCTACAGTTTTATTATTCATATATGTACCTATATTCAGATAGAATAAATAACGTATAATAAAACAGAAATATATAATAATGAAAATAGTTACAGCGAGTGTACCTTAGGAGATAGACATATACTATGTAGAACTTTTCTATAGACTTTTTTAAGACTTACAATTTTCTTGTACAATGTTGTGATCTATCGCTTAAGGTTGAGCCAACGTTAGCCATATAAATTTCTAAGGACAATTCGATAGAACCAGTTATTGTATTTTCCCGTGGGAATGAATAATTTGCCTGTCGTAAAAAGTATTCTAAATGTTGACCCGAGCACTAAGTTTTATCACTATACAAAATTAAGTTAAAATTGGTTGAGTACTTTTTGCGTGAAACGCGCACATCGATTTGACTAAGTTTTATTATAGGTATAGATAAGAATAAATATTACGAGTGTAACTTAGAAGATAGACATATACTATTCACAACTTTTCTGTAGGACTTTTCAAGACCTACAATTTTTTGGTATATTGTTTTGATGTATGTCTTAAGGCTTAGCCAGAGGAAGGTTTCTAGGGAGGACTCGATAAAACCAGTTATTGTATTTTCCCGTGGGAAAGAAAGATTTTCTTTAAGTAAAAGGTATCTAGGCATCCCAGTGGTAACGCGCTCGCTTGGGAAACCGAGTGAAGCAAGTTCAAATCCCGGGTCTCGTACCTCTGATATTTTCATGCGCGAATCATTTCTAACACAGTTACCACTTGTCTTAACGGTGAAGGAAAACCTGCATGTCTGACAGAACCTAGCAAGTTTTCGAAAGACATGTGAAGTCCACCAACCCGCATTTGGCCAGCGTGGTGGTCTATGGCCTGATCCACCTCGTACTGAAGGGAGGCCCGTGCATGTGTTAAAAAGGGCTGAATACAACATACATACATACATACATACAAAAGGTACCCTAAATGTTGAGTCGAGTAATAAGTTATCACTTCACCAAATTTCGTTGAAATTGGTACATTACTTTTCGCGTGAAATGCACACACAAAAACAGACAAACAGACATACAGGCAAACAGACAAACAGGCAATTTTTTTAATAACTATTGTTTTGGGGTCTATGTTGTGTACATAATACGTTACAAATAAACAAAAACATCTATCCCACGGGAAAAGTACATTTTTCCGGGATACACAGTTATCTATTTGTTATTATGATGTATGAACTATATTATTGTAAAGTTTCATCAAAATTCAATCAGTGGTTTTTGTGTACTAAGCTGTATAAGTTACTATAGATTTTTGTCTATCCCACGGAAACTCTTTAATTTTCCGGGATGAAAAGTAGCTGATTTGTTTTTGTCATGTATGAACTATATTATTGTAAAGTTTCATTAAAATCCAATCAGTACTTTTTGTGTACTAAGCTGTATAAGTTGTTATAGTTTTTTAACTATCCCACGGAAACTCTTTAATTTTCCGGGATGAAAAGCATCTAAAATGTTGCCCGGGGATATAAGGTACCACCATGCAAAATTTCATTTAAATAGGTCCAATAGATCCGGAGATTAGCCCGTATAAAGAGAAAAACAGATAAACAGCTCGCTCGGGTTCGTCCATACATACAAATATGTTGTATTATCTCTTTAACCATTTGTCCAAATTATATGCAGTAAAAGGGAAAAGTCTTTTATTTTAAACATTTTAGACGATAAATTTACTTATTTTGATAAGAATTCATAATTGTTGATAATATGACCAATAAACATGACCTACCGATTTAAATGATTTTTTTAATATAAAAAACTGCTTTTTGTGACTTAAATATAAAAGTTAGACATATGCTGTCGCTGACTTTTTTGTAGGCATTATTAAGCTCTACAACTTTTCTCTAGAACATAATCATATATCTCTCATCGTTAAGGCAGCGTTCGTAAGAAACGTTTTCGTTCGACCGTTTTTTCTCCGACTTACTTTACAAATCCGACTACCACGAAATAGCCTTTTCATTTTTCGGGTTAATATATAGCCTATGACACTCAGAAAGAACGTGGCTTTCTATTAGTAAAAGAATTTTGAAAGTCGGTTCAGTAGATCCAGAGATTACCCCCTACAACGTCACAAACTCACAAACCCACAAACTCACAAACTCACAAGATCACAAACTTTACCTCTTTATAATATTAGTATATATATATATATATATATAGACGTTCAACGCCGAGGTGTTCTAGTAAGACAGTGCATCACATCTATGCGTTGTTACACCTATGACCTATTTATGATACATGCGTCGCGCCTCATTATCACTTCCCTTGTTATTCATCTTACGTGAGGAAATCAAGTAAATCACCCAATAGGGAAGATTTCTTGAAAGTAGGGCGCCACACATATCGCCTATTACTTTCTGTACTTTCTTTCTGTTTGCCTATACTTTCTGCCTATACTTTCTGTTTGAGGTTAAGCAATTTATTGTGATCTCTTTTATACCTTGTTTTTGAAACGAAGTTCCTTATCGCGCGTTACACGCTCTGAGCGGGCGGGAGCAAGACCCAAAAAAATGTAACAAGACTTTTTTTCCGATACTTCTTGCTATAGCGTTTATTATTTCTCTCTCTCTCTCTCTCTTCTCTTCGACTTTTTTTAACTTTTATTTATAATTTTGTACTAAATAATTAATGTTTATTTTTAAAATTAAAAAAGTATTATTAATAAAATAAGATTTATACAGTTCTTTAATTTTTATTTATTACTAGCGAATCACTCTCGCTTCGCTCGGGTTCGCTCCTGGGTACGCTTTAACGGTTACGTTTTAACGTTTTAACGGTAATATAGAATACATAGACTATATAATAATAATCTCCTCTTGACCGATTCCGGCCACGGCGGCCATCTCATTGAGACTAGCTAATTGCGCAGGAGATATTATAGTGCACAAGTGTGCGCGCAGAAAAAAATGTGCACTCTTTATTTCTGTCACTCACATATTCCGATGGGTTGACTACTCGACACGACCGGTGAGAGCTAGGGCGCAGGACCGACGGCTTTATGCTCTCCGAGGAGCGGGCTGAAACACAATCCCAACTCCGGGCTCTTACTGAGGCTTATTGTACAGAAAGACTCAATAACTAAACTTCGTCCGACCCGGGACTCGAATCAGGACTTCCGGGCGTACAGCCGTACAGGCTAGCCACTACACCACCGAGGCAGACTATATATTATATGATATATAGCCTATTATAGCCTTCCTCAATAATCGGGCTATCTAATGCAAAAAGAATTTTTTAAATCGGATTAGCAGTTCCTGAGATAAACGCGTTCAAACAAACAAACACTGCATCTATATAATATTAGTATAGATAAACTTAATTATCCCAGATCATTCAGTGTTTAATTTATCATTATTTATTTTACACATAATACATATATTTTATCGTAATTTTTTCAATTGAACTCTATCAACTTGATATTTTATAATATAAATTATAACGACTGTTTCAGCTAGCAGATGTCTACCAAAAAGCAAAAGGAACTTCGTTACGACCGGGGTTCCATAGACCACAGATATTTTCGAAGTCGGTGCTAGCCGGTAATATTTTAAGATACGAATATCTAATAGGTAAATATGATTTGGTATGAACTCTAATATAAGTAGTTAAAATATTATGTAACATCAATTTTATTTTACTTATCGAAATACACGTATGTATTAGATTTGCTTTGCATCAGCTGGTACCGACTTCAAAAATATCTGCTTAGGTATCTATTCTAAATGAAAACCCACGTTTAATTATTTTTTACATTTTCGTTCCTGAAAGTCGGTTTTTTTTAAATAGTTTTTATTTTTCCATTTTTAGTGTAGACGTGTTATGCAGGTAATTTGTAAGAAGAAAGATTTTTTAATAACATATTTATAAAAAAATAATTTATTTGGTGATTTTAAAAAAAAACCGCTCTACCGATTTCGATAAAATTTAAATGGGACCACGTGGGAAGTATACCCTTCGACAGGCGTCTTCGAGTAATCGGTGAACATACATAAAAATAGATTCCGACGAATTGAGAACTTCCTCCTTTTTGGAAATCGGTTAAAAATATAAACGTGAACATTACTTACATACATGTAATAATTAAAACTTATTTGGAACTAACGTGCTTATAAATCCAGTGGGATAATTTACTAAATTCTGAGGCTTTAACTAGAATAGAAAATGCGATGACCGTAGTGGTGTCAAGTATCGTGTTTTGTATAGGACAAAAGACAACTATTGTTGATAAGTTGCCCGTGTATGAGGCTATTATGGTTGTGTCATGTGTCTGCTAGTTTTTTTACTTACGTATTTTAATTAAATATTTAATAATAATTAACTTAATTATCAACATCTAACTACACTCATTTAAAAAAAATAATTATTAGATAACAACTATGTAATATTAAATTATTAGATAACATCGTTAACTATTTTAGGGTTCCGTAACCAAAATGCTGAAACGGAATTATAATTTCTTTATGTTTGTCTGTTTGTTTATATGACATCTATTTAGCTTGGAAAATATTGGGGCTTTATACATTGCTGAAAAGTAGGTAGGTAACACATATGAAAATGAGTAATAGACAATTCTGTATTCAAATTAAAAAAAAATTATAAGGAACGTGAACCTTCGTACTTGTATCTAATTGGTGAAAAAAGAAAAGAAGGAAAGGGCTATAGAAGAGCTTTCAAAATCATTGTACGACTATACGTATATGTGTACTTAGTACTAGTCAGATTTCGTACGTTGTATTCATACGTTGTATTTTAGAAATGAGTTCTTTTATCATAGGCGCAGGAGGTCCTGTGTCGCATGCGGATAAATATTAATGTTTATTTACGCAAGAATGAGGCAAAAAAATCTTAACAGTGAATAAAAACATCGTGAAGAAACCCGTATGTCTGAGAGAATCTAGCAAGTTTTCAAAAGACATGTGAAGTCCGTTAACCCGCATTTGGCCAGCGTGGTGGACAATGGCCTGATTTCCCACGTACTGAAGGGGCGCCTGTGTCCAGCAGTGGGACGTTAAAAAGGGCTAAATACATACACACAAGCAAGAATAGCTCGGAAACATGTAATTTTAAAAAAGGTGATCATTATAAAAATAATAAGCATTTAAACATAGAAAATCATTCAATGAATAGGAATTGATATCTATTCTAAATTGCTAAAAGTACTTAATAAATCGTTCTTAACTGTACCTACCGAGTAACTTTGTAGTAAATACAATTTTTCAAACAAAGGACAACTATATTTTATAACTGTGTGTTTTACTTTAATTGTGGGTAAATACACTTGCCTAGGATACAAGTGAGTGCATACGAACAATAGCAAACGTTCGAAACCAGGCGCTTGCTGGAAACCGACACCAAAGCGGTGAATGATCCTGTCACTGCCTTCACTATATAAACACAATCAACGTAACTAGGAATAACATTCGCTCTGGTAGCATTCCGGAGCACAGTGTTATTTTAAAATTCCAGAAAATTAACATCATTTTAGTGTAAAAAATTAAAATTACTTCTTTTGAAATAATACGTCCATAGCCCATAAGTCAAGTATGGATAGAATGTCTTCTAGCATGACATCCAGCATGACTGGCATGGGACTAGGCGGAATCACTGGTTTGACAACCGGAATGAGTACTCTGACTTGCATGAGGGAACAACAAGTAACAATTGGAGGAATGCCTTCTAACTACGTTCCTGGATTGTCCGCGAATTATAATATTTCAAGCTTTTGTCAACGCCCAGGGCAAAGTCGTCGCTGGCCAACTGCTAGAGCTGGACCGACCGCTCAATATAGACCTGGTCGCTCACATAGCACTGGTGCCTTACATCGTCTCAAGCATTCGTCGAGGAATAGTCCTAATAATCAATATACTCATAACCTCATCTGTAAGTTGGCAGATCAAAACGAACGACGACGTCGCCAAGATACCATGGAATTGATACCACAAAGTTATTACTCACAGCAACCACTAAAAGTTGAACTAACAGAATTTTATTCTCGTGATAACGCAAAAGAACACCATACTGAACAATATGAACTTGTTAATGATAACATACTTCCTAATCCTGTATTGAGAAGAGGACAAAATTTCTTCTTTGCTGTTAGATTCGATAGGACTCATGATAAACAACAAGATGTAATTCGTGTTGTTTTCTGTTTTGGTAAGATATTTCTTTGTTTTGTTTGTTTATACATTTATATTTCTTCATAAAAAAATTATATTGAATGTTTTTTGTTATGTATATTTGGTAATTAAAATTTGTTATGATATTTGCAGGTCCCAAACCTAGTGTCACTAAAGGTACACGAGTTGTCTTGCCCGTCAATTGGAACACGCAGCAAACTGCATTCCAACATGCCCGTGATGTTATCGGTATGGGTATGGGAATGTCTCGAATGCAAGAGACCAGCACAAGCATGGCTCCGATGACAACAATAAGTACTATAAGTCCTATATGCGGCATAAGAGAAACAACAACATATGGGGTCCGACGTAGCTCTTTTAGTAATGATCCTTTACCTCAACAACATAGTCCACTAAGTCCACATGGAACCTCAGTGGAAAGACCAGTAATTGAGCGTTACTGTGCAACTAGCCAGCATTCTTCATTTGGACGTAACCATGGATCCCGTCCTGGGTCGATGCAAAACTTAGCATCAATAGCACATGAGATGGATAAGTGGGACATAAGTGTTCAACGCCAGGACGGAGACACTATAACATTTCAAGTCCACATACCAGCAACTGCTCCGGTCGGTGTTTGGAATTGTTGGGTTCAGACACATCGCGTCGGTCAACGGGATAATCGACATGATTTTAAGTGTGATGAAGATATTTATGTCTTATTCAATCCGTGGTGTCGCGAGGATGCAGTACATATGGACAACGAATCATCTAGAAAAGAATACATTCTTAATGAACAAGGCAAGCTATGGTGTGGGACGTGGCGTCAACCGAAAGGACGTAAATGGATTTTCGGCCAATTTGATGATGTAGTTTTACCGGCTTGTATGTATTTGTTAGAACGAAGTGGTCTTGAGCATTCCGAACGAGGTAATCCAGTTCGTGTTGCAAGAGCTATATCTGCAATGGTATGTTATATAATTTTAATGATATTATTATATTTATGTATATTTTATAATAATAAAAAAATATTTTGCTTCAGATAAATGCAAATGATGATGATGATGGTTTAATGGTTGGCCGATACGATGGTGAATATAAAGACGGAGTTTCACCACACGCTTGGACTGGTTCTGTAGCCATACTTGAACGTTATCTGACAGATGGTGGACGGCCTGTTGAGTACGGCCAATGCTGGGTATATTCAGGATTAGTTGTTACTATTTGCAGAGCTTTAGGTACTTTTATAAATGTATATACTAAAACACAAAGGAATTTTGAGAGCATAAAAGGCATACTCAAATAAAATTAATGATTATAACAAAATTTTCAGGTATTCCTTGTCGTTCAGTTACGAACTACGTATCAGCACTCGATACTAACCGTTCCTTTACTGTGGACAAATTCTTTGATCGAGATGGCAATGAAGTACCAAATGGACCGGATGAAGACTGCTACGACTCTTGCTGGAACTTTCATGCATGGAATGATGTTTGGATGCAAAGGCCAGATTTACCGGAAGGTGTCTATACTAGATTTAACTTTGTGATAATTCTTACTTATTTTTCCTTTATTCTTCATAATTATAACTCCCTATTTAAATATATTATTATCTTTATCGATGTGCCGAAGTACTATATCATTGATATTTGTTTTTTTAGGATATGGTGGATGGCAAATCATTGATGCTACGCCTCAGGAAGAAGCGGAGTCTGTATATCAATGTGGTCCAGCTAGTGTTGAGGCAGTGCGTCGTGGTGAAGTTGGATTTCAATATGATACTCTCTTTGTTTATTCACAGCTTAATTCAGAGTTATGCCTGTTTCAAGAAGAAGAAAATTCTGAATGGGGCTTTATTAGAATGGCATCAAATCAATATCAGTGAGTAAATACTCTGTTACCACAATATATTCCTTGTTTATTCATGTCCCAATAATATCAAATATAATCCTTGTTTTGTACGGGAGCCGCAGAATTAATTGTTGAAGCTTACCGAATGCGCTAGAAATTAAAGCTTAGCTTTCCTTTTAATTCAGACAAATAAATTATAAAATGCTCTAATAGGTTTACGTAAAACTCGACAAGGACAAAGACAAAGAGTTAATTTTATATGTATTAAAATACATATAAAATTTCTTAAAAGTATCGATTCAGCATTTTACACCAGTATATTTATACTCAAAATAAGTAGTTAATATATGTAAAAACCGCTCATAAATAATAATATTAATGTATATAATATTTTAAGACATATAAATATCACATAATTTTCAGAGTCGGCAGAAAAATTCTTACTAAGAGCCCGAACCGTGACGATGATGAGGGCGATAGCGATATGTTAGAAATTACACATGAATACAAAGCTGAGGAGAACTCGACCCCAGACCGTCTTGCTGTTATCGCCACTTGCCGCGGTTTTCAACGTCTGCAGCAATATTATGAATTTCCTGATCGTAATAGTGAAGACGTCGTATTTGATCTCATGGACATCGAAACTGTACCATACGGCCAGCCATTTGATTGCACGATGAATATTCAAGTAAAGCAAATTTTTAATTTTAATTAATAATATTATTTTGATATAACTATTACTTAATTTTACTTGCGTATACTTTTAGAATAAATCCCACGAAGACCGTACCATCTGGTGTGTATTAACAGCGTCTTCATGCTATTATACTGGTGCAGTCGCATCAAGAGTGCGTAGATCTCAAGGAGAGTTCATCGTCAGGGCAGGTCAGCGTGAAGTACTAAAGTTGCACGTCACACCACAAGAATATATGGATAAATTAGTCGACCATGCTATGATTAAGGTGCACGCTATGGCGTATGTTAAACAAACACGTCAAGGATGGTCTGACGAGGACGATTTCCCATTAAATAAACCAAGATTACAGATTCAGGTGGGAAAATACGCTATTAATAATATCCCGACTGCAAAAAATATCTTAATGCATTAACATGAAACTATTTTTCTATACCCTTTTTTGATTCTCAGATATCATATTTAAATATAAGGATGTAATCTAACTGAACTGAACTTAGTTGCAAACTACCCGATGATGCATGCTAATATTGAACTCAGTGTAGTCAATGGTAATAGCTAAAATATCATTTGTTGATTACAAATTAATTGTTTCTTTTATTTTAGGCAAGGAGCCAGCCGACCGTAGGACAAGAATGCGCGGCGACATATAGCTTCCAAAATCCTTTAAATGTGCATTTGACCGATTGCTATTTCACTGTTGAGAGTCCTGGTGTACAAAGACCGCGACAGGTAAGTAATATTAAAAAAACATTAATTAACTCTATTACTTCCACATAATTAAGAGAATATAAGCATTATAAAATATATAATACTAGCATTGCCCGCGGCTCCGCCCGCGTTCAGACGACTAAAAACTAAATTCTTAGGTTTTACATATTAGTATACTCTTACAATGCAGTTTTTGTATTTTTTCTCAGAAATCCTATATGTTGACCCGGATCTATCATCATACCAAATTTCATCAAAATCTGTCCAGTGGTTTTCTCGTGATGCGATAACAGACAGACAGACAAAAATTCTAATAACTATAGTTCGGACTCTGTATCGATATTAATGTCTATTTCAATTAGATTTCCCAAAAAATATTTAATGTACAGATGCGACTTAGTTACACTTTTATTATATGTATAGATATTTTTTATCGTGAATGAAAATATTTTTTAATATTTGTTAGTGTTTTAAATAGTCTCAATTTGCAAATATAATCTACTATTACGGTGTCTATATTTTATGCCAAATTTATGGCGGAAAATGCTAGAGTAGCAAAAGTAAGGAGATCACGTTTCTTTCTCATTTCTACACTAGCTCGGCGGTTGCTCCTCACACTTGGACTGACCATTTTTGTTTACAATAGAGAATATTTTCAGTATAACAATTATAAACTTTTTAAATATAATTATGTTCGTAGATCCGCTTCCGCGACGTGAAGCCAGGTGAACTAGTGAACTACCAGGACAAAATCGTTCCTCGTCGCCAAGGCGAGCGTCGCTTGGTCGTGACCTTCTCGTCCAGACAGATTGACGAGATCTTCGGCTGCACGGCGGTGAATGTGCGCAACTAGCAGCCCACCCCGCCCCGGGCGCCCTCTCCGCGGGCTTCGGGGCCGCCGTCACCGCGTGCGATACAGTTCGACCGCGCCTACTTCTATGTAGCGCCTGAACATTTCTTTATTCAAGAAGAGGAAGTTCTCATCTTAAAAACATTGTAAACTTCCTCCACACGGTGTATTTGTGAAAACTATAAATGGACTGCGACCCGGCTTTGATAACGGTTATAGGATATTTCACTTAAGAGCACTATTCATATGAATAAAATACAAAAAAATATAACGGAGACACGACGCACGATGTGATTTTTAATATAATCTTATGTAACATTAGTTTTTTAAGGATTAAAAGGAAACCGATGCTTCGAGTGCCATTTTGCATTGTTATAATTATAATTTTTAAATAAGGTTTATTTATGAAGTGTAATGACTAATGTAACTAGGCTAAGATTAATTTAGTATTAAATATATTTGTTACTTATTATTACTAAACAATGAATAGAAAAATGATAAAAAAATATGTGCACTCTGTTTGTGTGTTTTTGGGATCTCAAAAATAAAAGCAGTCACTGCAAATATCGTCGTTTACTTTATTTTATAAATTCTTATAAACATTATTATAACCATTAATTAATGTACCCATGGGAATGTTGGCATACACCTTACACTGAAATGAAATGAAATTTAACTCTATTTAATTAGACTTATACAAACACTTTTGAATCGTCACTTTTATCTAGAGCGGCAGTGTATCAGTCCGCGAGGAAGCTATCACCGAATCGGAAAGCAGTTCTCCTGATAAGAAGAAGGCTGGACTGGTGAGAAACGGTTGCTCTTTTAATATCGAGTTACATTTTATTTATTTTATTAACATACCATTATGGCCAGTCCGTATTTTCGAGTCAATATATCTCAATTTTTACATACATTTCCATCGAAAAGAAACTTTTGACCAGAGTAATATGCTTTAGGTACTCATTAAAATACTTATAATTTTATTTTAGGTTTCAAAACACTGAAGAAAAAAAGTCCCTTGGTGTTGAATCGAATGATCGTGCGGCCAATGAAACGGGAAATTACACAATTAAAAAATACATGACATGTTAATTCACTCAGTAGGTAAAATTCTTTAAAATTTATCTAAGCAATATTTATGAAATTGCCAATAATATATAAAAAGTTTGTTTATATACTGTAGCACTTTTACATTAGCTAGTTATAAATTAAATTAAAATATCCCTTATGATATCCTCCTGAACGTTTTTTCCAATATTCTCTATCTTTGTCTTCTTATCTTGGAACTTCTTTCTCTACTTTTTCGAGAAACCAGTCAATAATAAAAAAAAATTAAACTGACTTTAAAAATAATAAATAACATTAAATGTAAAAACTAACCGAACGGGGGTTTTCATTTACTATAGATACCTAATCAGATATCTTCGAAGTCGGTGCCAGCCGATGCAAAGCAAAGCAAATATATTTCGATACGTATAAATACCTACATCACAAATTGATGTATGTATAATATTTTAAATATAATTAGAGTTCATTCTTTGTTATATTTACCTATTAGATATTCATATATTAAAGCATTGTCTACTGACAGCCACTTTTGAAGTCAGTTTAATTTTTTTTAATTTCTTTTTTATTGAAGTCGGTTAATATATGTGCTTAGGAAAGCACTTATTTGACATGGCTAACTATTAAATACCGACGTATTGTAATGATTGTGTGATATTTTTAATGTATGATTCAAAACGTTGGTTTACTCATCGGGCTTTTTATTATTAATGTACCTACCTACAATTGCTATCAGCAGCCCTTTGTAAAGTTCTTTTATATTTAGGCCATATGTAGTAAGTACTATATTCATTTATTGAAATTAATGAATCATGTGTATACCATGTTACTATACTGTGCAAATTACAATATAACATTTTACGGGTCAACATATGGATTTTACCAGTAGCTTTAAACTTATATGCTTTACTGTCTCTTATTATTACAAATAGCGTTAAGAAATAGTATTAAGAGGTCATCTATACTAATTCTTTCTTATTCGTTAGTTCTCTTGATTTTTACTCGATTCGACAAAAGTTACACCAACTTTAATTAACAAAATATCGGCTACAATATTTTGAACTTTTTAACAATTATTTTGGTCTTTTTCAAAAAAGATTTCGTAAAAGGTGTTTAGCTTACTAATAGCTATATCAATTATGAATAAAAGTAGTACTACAAATATCTGCTTTGATTAATGAACATAAAGATTCTTTAATGTTTATGAGGCATGTTAGTTTGCCATACCGTTCAGTAGGTTGATATGATTTTGATTCGATAAAAGATAACTACGCAGATGGCAGCAGCACAGTAATGTTATAATATACTAGCAGTACCCGCGACTTCGCCCGCGATCAAACTTCCGATCGCTAACAAAATTCACAGGATCACCCGCTGGGCTAATCTGAAGCTTACCTGAAAATTTCATCAAAATCGCCCAGCTGCTTTGGAGTCCATAGGAAATATGACACACATGGATTTTAATTTTATTTAATCAACAATTTAAATTTATTTATTGCTCGGAAAATGGAGTCTTTTATGAAAATTTAGTGGCACATCGATAGCAGCGCCACCTACCGGATCCATTTGTGTTTTCGAACCTTGCAGGAGCCCATTGAAATATACACACAAAATTTCATCCAAATCGGTCCAGTCCTTTAGGAAAAGTAGGTTAACAAACACACGTACAGAACAATTATATATTATATTAAGATGTACATTAAAAAAAATCGTGTTAGTTACACCATTTCTAACTCAATCGGCCTCTGTATCGATAATAATGACTATTTCAATAAGATTTAAAAAAAAAAGATTCAATGTACAGATTCGACTCAGTTAGAATTTTATTATATGTATAGATTTTAAATAATAATAATTAGTTCCTGGTATGGATGGATGTTATGAAAATATATATATTTTTTTGCAAAATACAAACTTTCTCTAGCAATACCTTTTAAAGAGCAAAAGTTATGAATGTACTGACTTTATGATTTAAATAAAGATAATATTATGAAACTGGTGATTATATTAAAGTTAAAAAGCTTCAATTTGTGTTGAAGAGCTTATAAATAGCTCAGTAATTGTACTCGTACGAAAGCAATCCCGAAATACATTATGGTGCACATATTATGTGGTTTATTGCACACTGACACTAAACAGTAGCTAACTATAATATGCATTTTTTTTAAATGATTGGTGACATTTATGAGTAATATTGTGTAGGTCCAAGGATAGTTGCATGTGACTCTACTTTTCTAAGAATATTTCTTGCGTCAGTAATTCTACAGCAATTTTCTTGATTTTACAAGAAAACTACGTCAAATAAATAGTAAGCAGCTTTTATACATTATATTGGTAACTATCAAACAAATACTTGTTAGGGTCTTAATAAAATTGTACATACAAAATAATTTTTCCTCAAGAACTTCTAATATAGTTGAATCTAAATTGTAGTCTCAGAAGTTATGAATTACGAGTAGATCTATGTTTACATAATTATTTTTCATGCGCGTCCCGTGGTATTTATTTGTATTACACAATATCCTAGGCATCTGGATGTAATGGCATACAGTAATCTTTGTCATTCTCGAGCTCATAATCTATTTTTATGCCAAAAAACCATGACTGCTGACCATGACGCTGCTGCGTTAAGGAACGATAACCCAAACAAACATATTTTTGCACTTACAGGATTAAGTAAGAGATTTATATAACTAAATAAAAAAACAAATCTATCCCACGGGAACCGTACATTTTTTCGGGACAAAAACTAACCTATGTTCTATTCCAGAATATTATCTATCTCTGAGTCAAACATCTAGATCCGTTCAGCCATTCTGGCGTGATTGAGTAACAAATACCCATCCAAACTTTCGCATTTATATTTTTTAGAAAAGTGCAAGCAGATCTATCCCACGGTAACCGTTCATTTTTCCGAGATAAAAAGTAACCTGTTGTTTGACCGGTAATACAAGGTATCAATCGGCATGCCAAATTTTTACTAAATTAGGTGCATAAGTTGTTGTGTACTAAGCTGTATGTATAAGTTACTATAGTTTTTTAACTATCCCACGGGAGCTCTTTAATTTTCCAGGATAAAAAGCATTTAAAATGTTGAGCGGGGATGTAAAGTACCACCATGCAAAATTTTACTTAAATCGGTTTTACAGTTTAGGAGATTAGTTCGTACAAAGAGATAAATACTAAATAGACAGAGAAACAAAAAATTGAACAAAATCTGCAGCTGTTCTATTTTACTTCTTACATCCCTCTGACTCGGTTTTTAGCTTTTAGCATTTTTTTCTATGTACAGACATTCGACCTCTACAGTTTTATTATAGTATAGATTATATTAATGGGAAATAATGGGATTAGACAATATGTCTAAGTATATTTTTATGTATAAAAATTGGTATAGTATAAAATATGTACATATGTAGGTAGAGTCTAAAATATTTCATATATTAATAAGAGTACTGTATTATAAGAGATTAGATTAATAAGTAACTGGGTCATTAATAGAGGACAAAGACCTGTGTAACCGAATTCAAGGAAAATTAATAAGTATATTACTTCGTGTATTCACTATTCAGTAAATTCCATTCATATCTATATATATAAAAGAAAGTCGTGTTAGTTACTTCGCTTATAACTCAAGAACGGCTGAACCGATTTAGCTGAAAATTGGCAGGGAGGTAGTTTAGAGCCAGGAGAAGGACATAGGATACTTTTTATCCCGTTCGACCGCGTTCCAATTTTTATGATATTTTAATTTTTGGATTTCTCTTAGTCCGGAATAGGTAAGTATTAAAACATATAATTAAAATGTGAGAAAGAAAGATTTTTTCTTTTTATATCTATTTAAAACGTACCTAGCGACGAACCCGAGCGAAGCGAGGGTGAGCCGCTAGTTTAATTTAATATTGAATCATTGCATTGAGGCCTTCGATGTGCGTCTCGGCGGACAAGTTTTTATTGACATCATAGTACCGCAGCATGTTTGGATGATGTCACACGTAGTAAATTAACATAATCGTGTGTAAGTTATATTACAAAGTCAAACATTGTTCTCTTATTATCTCTTATATAAGGTACAATACGACCTTAATCTTGGTTCTTAATGCTATTAGGTAATATTCTTCTCAATTAATAGCCAATAGGTATTTAATGATTTTGTTTATAGATCTATCTGTATGTAGGTGAATATCTTAAAAGTGTAATATTATATAGTTTTATTTTCTTCTACTGACTGAACTGATATAGGTACGTATAGTAAAATGGAACTGTTGAAAAAGGAACTTCGAATAGTTCAATTTCCATTGAACTTAGATCATTTCTTTCATAAATCTTGACTGGGTCTAAGCCGTAATAGCTAAGCTGATATATCGGATTGAAAATATAAGTAATGAAATCTGATATAATATAGGCTGTGTTGTGAGCATTGAGCACCTCGACTTTTGTGTGCTTCTATCCTTGACTTATAAAGGGCTGTTTCGAAATACCCACGTAGTATAATGACTAATAGTGATGCATTGTGATTCAATATTTCATGAGCATTTTATTGAGGAATATTATTTACGGGCACCCCAATTTTCAATACTACTGATAAGAGGTCACGTAGAGACACGTTGTTATAGGTATGAAGGATGGAGCTTCACGCAGATGAAACGAATCCAGCGCTTAGTGCGCACGCGTTGATTGTTTACCTAAAATATCGCTACTTTTAATTGGATTATTAATACCACTTCTATGTGGGTTACGTCGATCTGTGAAGCGTTGAAGCACTAATTTAGGCTTTGTTTACATAGTGGCAAACTGTTCAAACGTTGTGAATACTTTCGATTGGTTAGAGAAGTGACCCAAGCATGTGGGATTGTGATCGAAGTGAAAAGTTGATTGGAAGATAAGCTCTGATTATATCTACTTCGATATTTATCTCTAAATATTGTTTATTCCTAAGTAATATGGGTGCAGTGAAAAGTAAGTTATCTAGTGTTTGCCCGCCTCGGTGTGGATGCTGTAGACTTCAGAAGTTCGACTCTTATGACTTAAAGGTCTTGCCGCGGCCTCCACGATTAGGTAACTTTTTTATATTATAATTCCTTATTAATGTTATTAATGTTTGTATGTATGTATGTTTATCCACGCATTCCTCCGAAACTATTAATCGAAACGTGATCATTCTTTTTTATTTGCTTACATTTATTTTTACTTAGGGAATAGTAAAGATTTCACTAAAATCCAAAAAAAAATGTAGTTTTTATGATTTGGACTAAAACATGTAACTAAAACTAAACTAGTTTTTATAATAACTGTTTATCACAAAAACTATTTAAGTTTTTTTTTATTTTTTAGTGCCTTTTTTGAAGTCGGTTTAAGTTTTTGGTAATTAAATTCATACCAAAGACACGATATTGTCAATTTATAAAGAAAAACATGAATTCTTCGGTATTATAATATTATGATTTATGACCATTCTATTTTACAACATCAGTATGTATCTATTTACAATGTAATCTTTCCTTATAATCGAGATTATTTATTGCGGCTGACGTGATCACTAGGCACAATATGCACCTATATACATAAATTAGGTAAATATTTTAATGGATTTTCTACAACTTCTTGTACTTTTTTATTAGTTAATTGTTTCATCAAAGTAAACATAAAATATGAGGCAAGTAATAGAGCACCATCACAATAAAATTTACGAACTTTTGTTGTTTGATGTATATCAAAAATAAAACTCGCGTTGTTTGAAGACGTTTCTGCGGATACATAAATGGTTTGTGAAGTTTGCTTTAATTCTTAGCATTCAGTCTAAATTTGTCAGTAATGGCGTAACCAATTTTTTACGTACAAGAGGAGTTTTGCCTTTTAATATTATACATATAGCATTATAATCATTAAAATATAAAAAAATCACATTATCATTTACAGAGAGCGATCAGTTGCACTTTTATTATATGTATATATAGAATAGATATAGATTTAGAGTGTCACAAATAAATAATTTTCTTTGCATACTATAAAACATGATAGATATTTATAGATATATCTGATGAAATGATAAAAACGACAATTGTAGAGCTATAATTTGTTGTGTCATTTTTGTATTAAAATCCCATTTGTTTTTTCTAAAATTACATTCATTTACTTATTTTGTCAGATGAGCTTAGAAGCAAGCACTGTTAAGGGAATCATGGCTTTGGTAAAACTTGACAAATAGTGTGTGGTTGAGTGTATGTCGTTCAAGGCGAACCGCTGCACGCAAACGACCTACGTACAGTTATTTCTATAAAAAATATTAAATCGTAAATCAATGCCTTTAAAGTTCAAAATATGTTTAAAGTTTTAGTTAAGTCTATTCTTACTACATATATATCAATTAGTAGCCAAGATATGACGGGTCAATTTTTTATATCGTTGCATTCCAGCTTAATCTATATACTCTTAAGAAAAATTTACATAATACTATTCAAGTTTTCCTTGTTTTCAATGTTTATCTAAATAGAACGTACCTATCGCTGTTAAATATTAGCATGAATTATATTGGCATGAAAATATTAACATGAATGTAGTAAAGACTTAAAAAATATTGTAAATTGAGTAAAATATACGGTTAATATAAAAATAATATTCTTAAACTATTTGCATATTGTTTTCTACATAAGCGTATTTAATAGAAAAAAAGGCTCCTGCTGTTGACTTAAGGAATTGCAATAAAGAAACAAATAGGTACATTAGGTATAGTAATTAAGTAGTAGGTTTGTTAACGTCGTACATGGGTATAATAAATAAATATTAAATATGCATTCTCACATATTTTATATAATTGTTAATCATAGAAAATTAGAATGATCTTAGGTATTGTTAATGCATAAACCTACGCATGCGTGGGAAAACTAATTCTGTCCTTTAGTGGATAGTGCTGCATACAGATATAGATCTCTTCACCCACACCTATAATTAGTATCTAACATAGAAATCTTTATTCTATCTTTATTATCAAAAATGGTAGAATCGAATAGGCTGATGAAATTAAGTCATCAGCAACAAGTGGAAATAATTGATCTCTAATATGGAAGGGTCAAGGCTAATACATAGTACCTTTAGGACTTACTTTTAGCTAAATCTGTAAGCCATTCATTTAGGAATTTATAATGATCTCACCATTTTCTTACTTTAAACAAATTCAAGGTATTTTGTTATACACTGTACATATTGCTTTTGTAGTTTTAGTGTTTGTTGATTTTCTCAGAACTATTGACTTATTTGTTTCTTGATTTATGAGTCAAGATCTTTAAAGAACCATTTTTGGGTATGAATTTGATGCAAAGATGTGAGTAATAATATATTAGATCCGTCAATGAATGGTTTCCACAGTATTTCTTTGTAGCACCTTTAAACCATGTTTACTCCGTGACATCACCGGCTCGGTAGCAGGAGTATTATAGATGGAGTCTAGAGCGAGAACTAACAGTCCAAGGCGATATTCTTAAGTAACTGGACGTCGGGCTCGACAATTATACGAAATTCTGAATTAGTGTGAGATAAGACAGATAAAAGTAGTGTTTTATTTATTGGAATGTGCTAATTTATTATTAAATAGTGTATGGAATAGACTTAGTTTATACAGTTGAAGGCATGGAGTATATCAAGAATTTGTGGAGACACTATTTCGGACATCGTCATAAGTACATCATAGTCCCATTTCAGCCAGGTATATAGGGAATAAAAAATAAAATCCAAAAAAAATATTTGAAGTGATTATATCTGTGAGCATAGTAAAAAAGCGCTGATGTTAAAGTTACATTATTCTTATGGTATCATTGATTTGGCGCGGAACCAAGCGCGAGGCGCGAAATTTTTAGTGATGACGAACTCTATTAGCTTTCGATGAATGATTATTATTGATAATATTTAAGTTTTTAGTTTTTGTAATAGGTATTTACTATTTATATTTTTTTAAGATAAAATCTATAAAATAATTACTAATAAAAAATTATAACTTCCAAGGTTTATTATAGATTACCTCTGAATAAAATGTTACATAAATTATACATTATTAATTTTAATTTATGGAAAATTTCTGATAAATTGCAAAGCTATAACAACTATTTTGAGGACAGAAGCTCTACTGATTAATTAATATATCAGTGATGTTCATATTGAGTTACGATTGCTTGATAAATAAACAAAACAATCTAATTATTCAGATGTCGTCGATGGAACAAGGCAAGGTGTGCTCGCCGTGCAAGGCATCGATTTCTGCATCGAAAGTAATGGGGAAAATCATCACACGAACAAATTCAATCTCATGTCGAGAGATGTTGACAGATGTCTTGTTGTAAGACGAGGCCAGTCCTTCAAACTTGATATTCTGCTCAACCGGCCATATGACGCCAACAGAGACGCTATTTCCTTTATTTTTTACGTATCTGGTATGTAAAATATAGACATTATTTAATCTGAAGTATTAGGTCATTACTTATTTTAAGAACAACAGACGTAATTGGTTACAAATTGTTCAAAGATGTGCAGAAGCGTGGGCCGTCAGATGAATCGAGCGCGGCGGTTCCTATGCTAGAGAAGGGATCAGAAACTATAGGAATATGGAATGCTGTGTATGAGGGTCAAATAGACTCACACCTTATAGTAGCCGTCACAGCAGCCTCAGACTGTATTGTGGCTGCTTGGCGTTTTGACATTGACACCAGATTGAACGGAGGTGGATCACTAAGTTACACCCATCCACAGCCGATATACGTGCTATTCAATCCTTGGTGTCCAAACGACAGTGTTTATATGCCAGGTAAATTGTACTTACTTATTAAAAAAATAGTTTATATTGTTAAGCTATAGTATATAATATTTTCCATTTTTTTTGAAGTACAGAAGATTGTTTTGAAGTATAGTAAGTAACGCAGTAATAATATTAATAATATTTTTACAGAACACAGTCATCGAGAAGAATATATATTAGAAGATGGTGGTATCATGTACAGAGGAGTCTACAACATAATTAAGCCCATACCATGGTTTTACGCACAATATGAGAAGGATATTTTGGAATGCGCGCTATATTTAGTTCGAGAGATTGGAAAGGTGAATAGAATGGAGTGGATTTGATAATTTCAATACACATACATATTACATACATTGAGTATGATTCAGAAATCAATGATATCTTTGGTCAAAAGTTATCATATACATAATACATATATCATATTATCATCGTTTCTTATCATATACAATGTATAAGTTATATTCTTAGTGATAAAACAATTATATTGAATTTCCGTTGCACAAAGTTTTGCATCTTGATGTTGTGAAAATTTTGGTGGATATGGTTTTGCAACATTGAATCTATTTTCCTTTTTCCATAATATATATGTGATGCTGTACTTTGGTTAAGATACTTACTATGGTACTGACATGTCCGAAAAGGATAAAAGTCTCTAAATAAAAATAGAGATAAAAAATAATAAAAAAAGTTTTGCATTTATTGAATAATTTATATTTATAGATTATATTATAAATAGTTTTCAAATATCAACGAGTAGTAGTATAAATAATGTTTATAGAATCACATAAAATTACGAAAGTCTCCTAGCTATATTTTTGTTAAAATTATATATTATAAAATAAAATTAATGAGAATTCACAGTAATGAAAATATTAACATATTTTTTTGTGTATTTAATTTCTTAGGTCAAAGGACGTGCGCGGGGCGATCCTATCAGAATTGTTCGAGCTCTTTCAGCTGCGGTTAATGTTCAAGACGACAACGGAGTTCTGTTTGGTAATTGGGGCAAAGAATTAAGTGATTACAATGGTGGCTCACATCCATTAAAATGGGTTGGGTCATTGTCCATATTGCAGAAATATTATGAAAAGAAAAAGCCAATTAAGTATGCTCAATGTTGGGTGTATGCTGGAGTCTTAACTACAGGTTAGTGAAAAATTATAAAATATAACGTAGTTTAAAATATTTTTAGCTGTGATTTTATTATTATAATAGATAATAGACTAGAATAATTATATAGAAGTCGTGTTAATTTTTCGCAAAGAGAGATGACTTAATAAACAGGTGCCACAGCTCACAGATATGTATTATTATTTTTTGTTGCATAATAAAAAATACCGTATGAACAGTTTGTAGAGCATTGGGAATCCCCTGTCGGCCAGTGACCGGATATGATGCCGCACATGACAGCCAGGGCAGCCTCACAATTGATATCATTAAAGACGAAGAAGGCAACACGCTAGAGGATTTCACCAGGGATTCAGTATGGAACTATCATGTTTGGAATGAGGTTAGATTTAGTGCTAATAATAGAACTATATATATAAAATTATTTGGCCACCAGTATTAAGAGCTATTAACTTTATTGATTTCGTATTGCCATCTGTTTCTGATGAAATTGTTGCGAGAAGTTTTAAAAATAGTTTTCTTGAGTTTATAATGTACAATTTATTGACGGCATTTTTTCAATGAATTTGGTATTTATAAGATAAATTTATTTTAATCAAAATTTTATTAATTATTGAGAAGAACTAAATTGTAATATAAGTATAGATTTTACAAAAAAAAGTAAGCAAGGTATTTTTTCCTGTACATTGATGTTCGTGGTAACATTAAAATTCTATCACTAAATCTAATACGTTTTTTACAGGTATGGATAGATCGACCAGATCTAGGATCGGAATATGGTGGATGGCAAGCTATCGACTCGACGCCGCAAGAAACTTCAGAGGATGTTTACCGATGTGGGCCAGCGTCACTCCGGGCAGTACGCGACGGAGAAGTGCAAAAACCTTATGACTCATCTTATGTGTTTGCTCAAGTAAACGCAGATAAGGTCTGTAAAAATATTGTTTGTTTTTCCAGAGTTTTTGTATTATGAGAACACGAATTTAATTAAGTACTTATATTTTTTAGATCCTATGGAAATATTCAGGGGAAATTCAACCATTAAAACTTATAGGACGAGATACGGTTTCAATTGGACGGAATATCTCAACAAAAGTAGTAGGACGAATGGAGAGGGAGGTATGATATTTTCAAATTTTAACTAATATTATTGAAGTTTTAAATGAAATCAGCAACTACCTATTCATTTTTTTTTGACCGTTGGCATTTTTTTTCTTTCGCCGGTAATGAAAATTAGATCATAATAATTAGAAAAGTATGTAAAAAGTCTATTAAAGGCGAAACGAACTCACTAAACCATAACAAAGCACAGATATTGTGATTGCTTTTCATTTTTATCAGGCGTTATGTTTTAATAAATTCTACTTTGTTCTCCTCAACCAGCTTGCATAAAAGGATCTTTTTATACCATAAACAAAATATATCATATTTGGTTAGGGTGTTCGGGTAATAAGTTAAATCATTTTTATGTCTTATATTACATTGTACGTGGATATTCTTTAAAATCGAAATATACACATATATAGTATGGGGTTTAGTGTCATCAAAAAGGCGTATCTCGAATTAAAAATTACCTAGGGCACAAATTCATAGATAATATAAAAATAGATTTATTTGTTACCAAGATCCCCCAACCAAATATAACAGTAACATAAAACTTTTTATATGGTCTAGAAGGGCAACTGGCAAGACATAAAGTAGTGTTTATTAAAAAATAACACCTGATAAAAAGCAATAGCAGACAATATTTCTCGTACATATATGGTTTAGCCGAGAGTCGCGTCGCTTTGGTAAGAAAGTATTGATATCATTGATTTAATGTAGCGCCTGATATCAAATTATTAGCAATACAAACTAGACGCGTCTTTGCTAAACTACAAATGATGGAGAGATAGAGATTTATGGTCCGCTTTTTTCTAATAATATATTTGATGTATTATTTTTATAGGATATAACGAATTTATATAAGTACCCTGAGAGGACTCAAGAAGAGCGTGCTACGATGGAGAAGGCTCTGCGTAAATCTGAAAGCATTTTCGCACGATATTATCTTAATGACGTCTTCAATGATATAATTTTTGATTTCGAACTAAGAGATGACATCAAGATTGGACAAGATTTCAATGTGGTAAGTTAACTTAAGTTTTTATGATATTTATAATTTTATTTTATTATTATATACCCACCTAGACAGGTTCACGAACTGGGTTGATTGTAATTTGTGTGTTTGCATAATGTCACCTTGTTTGGCAATTAGTATACCTACATAAATTTAATAATCGCTATCACGACAAAAAATTCATGGTTTTTATCGAAGGACTAAGGAACGCTACACTGATGAATTATATTCATAGCGGAACGTTCATTTTAACATTTTTATCTTTTAGATTTGCGTAGGTACTCGGATCTTAAAATTTATAACAATTTTCTCTTTATTCTTCTTTCGTTCTATCAAACTACATATTTCTTGGTAATTTTTACATTACATGGTACATTGTAAAGCATGCAATAATTTTTCAGGTATTACATATAAAGAATCGTTCGACAATTAACCAGCACCGAGTAAAGGGAATACTGCGAGTCGATGCAGTCACTTACACAGGAGTTACGGGTGACGGAGTGAAGAGGCACGAGTTCGACATAGTGATGACACCCGAAGCTAAAGAAAAAGTTACCTTACTTGTGACATTCGATGACTACTACAAGAAACTTATTGATCAAGTAAGCTTGTATTTTTTGATTTGCCTTACTTTGATTACTGTTACTTTATAGTCCAGGATCTTGGGTTTATTTTTACAAGTGATTAATATCAAGGTAATTTTCCGTGAGTAGCTTCATTTTGATGAGACGCCTAACTTTTTCTCTTACAGAAATTCTCGATTGTGGTAGCTAACAGGGTTAGCAGGGACATAATATGTCGATTTGACGATTTTCCAAAATTTATTACTAGCTGTAGAGTTAACCCAAAATTGGTTTGATACTAATCAATTGTAAAAATGGACCCGGGATCCCGGACTATTAAGTATACAAATCGTGTTATAACTGTCGTCTGTTGCTATAAAGTAAACAGTAAATGCGCAGCTGTCATTGTTACCAAAACAGCATTTAGCATACGGAAATAGCAGTACTCGATTCGCGCATATTTGAGAATTGTATTTTCCGAACAGCTCAATTATATATACGAGCATCGGGTCTTAACAGAAACTAAAAAAAACTAGTTTCAATAGATGGCGTTATATTTATTGATTTGGTATTGATTATCGAAAATAATTAAAAAAATAGACCCTAAAATGTATATTTTGGTTTAAAAAAATATTTAACTAAGGGAAAATTATTTGTCCTTAAATCAACGAAATTTTACTGAAACAGACATTGGGTTTAGTTTGTAGTGCGTACTGGTGTTTTTTACCATTTATGCTTTGATGACCATGGTTATAAATAGTAAAATAACTTTGTGATATGAATTATTTAAATCGAAAGTGAATTTTGTTATATTTTACATAGTTTAGTTCGTGTACACATTTTTTTTATAAAATAAAATAGGTTGATAGTTTCCGGATCAACGCCATCTATCGCCTATTTAGTGAAACAAATGTTGTATGGGATCGGGCATCTGTTATTAAACTACTATAGTATTATGTAATCAGAGATACAAGTAGTACTTTAACCATTAATTAAAATTTTATGAATAAATCTTTAATAATTTTGTGTATAAATTATTCATAAAATTTTAATTTGTTGTCAGAAATAATTAGATGTAAGCTTAATTATACCTATTCACCAACCATTTCTAATAGTTAATTCTTTAATTATTTTCAGGCATCATTTAATATAGCCTGTTTGGCCTCTATAGTGGACAGGAATTTTGACTTCTTCGCACAAGATGACTTCAGAGTTCGCAATCCCGATATTAAAATAGTCATCGACGGAAAACCAACTTCGAAACAAGAGTTTTCAGTAACTGTAACCTTGGAAAATCCTTTACCAATACCATTGAAAAATGGCAAGTTTTATATACAAAGTTCAGGACTTGACAAGCAACTCAAGATTGAGCTAAACGAGGTAAACATTTTCGTACAATATTCAGTATTAAAAATCATATGAAATTATACCAGTATCCATATAAAATGTCTTATTATAAATATAGTCAAAGGTTTGAAAAATTAGTAGTATTACAAATATATTATATGTATTTATATATATTTTATGAATTCTCAAGATTTTATTTTTTTATTTTAGAACGTGGCTCCGGGTGCTTTAGCGACAGCGCAATTTAAACTAACACCACCATGGGCCGGTCGTCACCAAATTTCAGCTAAATTCACTTCAAAAGAATTGCACGATGTGGATGGTTTCCGCTCAATAATGGTCTCACTGCCTGACAGTAATGGAATCCCCTTAATAGATGCAAACGAATCTCTTGATATTTAAAGAGTCTCAAGCCCTCGAACAGTAGGCACTACATTACCTAACCTATATCATACAAATTAAGTCGTGAACTGTGTAAATCCAAATGAAATACCCGTAGCTCTATTTACATTATTTATTAAAAATATATATACTTGACGAATGTCTGTCATTTTATTAATCAGAGCCAAAATAAAGTATCTTATGAGCTTAGATAATCTGACTTGTTATAATATGTTAATACTCAAAGAAATAGAGTATTAAACATGTCTAAATGTTTTGTTTGTTGTAAATTATTCAACTAAAATAGTTATATTATATGTACGTTATGTTACGTAGGTATCCGATATTCTCATATTCCTTGCTTCTTTAACTGTTTTAGTTCTGTCTTCCTGCAACCCGAACATATCAATAAATTATTTTTTTAGTCATTAAATCCAAAAATATATAAATTGATATGACTAAAACAGTAAAGTTGCATACGAGTATATCCTATTTCCATATATTCCATAAACTAAAGATTTTTATACCCTAATTATAGTACATATGTAGAAGAGAAAGAAAATGGGTTTTAAGAACAAGGCCTTTAATTGTATTATATTGTTAGTTAAGCGAACATGCTTTAATATAAAATACAGTGATTTATAACACAGTATTTATACATAATTATAGTTATTAAATAATATGCTGATATGTAAATGTTTGATTCTTATGCACGTAATGTGTAATGTGTGTGACTTTAACAAAATAAAAATTTGTACAGAAATAAAACATTTTATGTATTGTTAGTTATTTTATTATTATTAACCTAATTACGCATTTAACATTAGTCTACTTTATTCTTCTAGTTTTAAATAAGGTCAGGAACTTCAGGATTATCAATAAAATCTGGAGAGCATGCCTTTTCACTTAAATTCATTCTAAAATCTTTACTACGAGGCATTGTTTTCGTTTGAGTCATTTTTGTAAAATCAAGCACGCTATCAGAAGGTCCTATTTCCAAAAATTCTCTTTTTGATTGAATCATGTGTTCTTGACGAGTCTTTAATTCTTTATCAGATTTAAGCGATGATAATTTTTCAGATGTTGTTAAGTGCAACTTTTCTTGTACAATTTTTAATTTTGGCATCGTGATTAATAAATGTCCAGTAATTTGTGATCTTTGAGCTGTTGAATTAACAATTTGTATGTCTTCAGGAAGATGCAATTGAAAAATTTTGCCTTTAATCGTAACCCTTACATAATTTGCTTGGATGTCAATAGACAGAAGACTTGTATCTAAGTGCTTATAAATAGCTAAATCTAATGTGTATACATTAGGTATCGTATCACTAAATCTAAATTTTATTTTAGGTTGATTTATGTTAAATGGTCTGCCATCAGAAGCAAAAAAAATAATCTGCCGTTTTTCTTCGATTTCTGTTTCAGTATTACAAGATTTTGACTTTAAAATCCGCATACGTTCAATTTCATATCTTACTTCTGGAGCGTGTTCAGATTTTTCAGACCAAAACTTTTTAGTAATTTCATCAGTATCCAAATCCTTATATTCATTTAACCACTTATCTTTTATATCCCTTTCTAAACGTGATTTTTGCGCTTTTCGTTCGCATTTGTAATTTTCTTGTTCATATAAAATATCTGATCTTATTATAGGTAGGTTTTGTAGAGCTTTAATGCGTTCAGATCTTTCAATGTCTTTTCCATCGAGTGACGCTAGTTGTGGTAGAGAACCAATAACAAAATCTCGATAGTTTTCATAATCAGTGCATGGGTTTCCTGTCAAGTATAAATTTTCCAAATTATAATTTCCTGCCAATGATTCGACACTCAAAATATCTCCGATAAAATTCAACGTCAGATCTAACTTTTGCAACGATTCGCACCTTTCTAAATTTTCTATAATTTCTATATTATTTAATGCTAAATTTAAATAGGATAGGTGTTTTAACTTGTTTAAATTTTCAATTTTGGCTATTAAATTACTTTGCATTAAAAGAATTTTTAGTTTAGGGCACCAATCTTGGATAAATTCTATTTTCTCAATATTTTCCTGGTGTAGAGCTATTTCTTCCAATGGCGCTAACAGTCCATCATGGTGTTCTGCTTTTTTACGCACTAATTCAACAGTAATCTGAACCATTTTTATAAGTTTAGAATAAGATTAAAACACAAAACAACCCAGTCAAAATATAAGCTTGACAACAGTTGCTAGGTAAAGTAAACAAAAGTATCGCTACGTGAGGACTAAAGAGGCTATTTATTGATTTAATATCGATGAAAATATTGTTACACACTCACATATTTAACATTTAGTATCGATTTCTCAGAGATGAGATATTTTCCGTGTTTTTCCGTGATGCGGTAACAGACAGACAGACAGACAAACAGACAGACAAAAATTCTAAAAACTATAAATTCGGCCTCTGTATCGATAATAATATCTATTTCAATGAGATTTTCCAAAAAATATTTAATATACAGATTCGGCTTAGTTACAATTTTATTATATGTATAGATTATAACCTACTGAAAAACACATTAAATGCTACATAAAGGTACTTGTAAGTATAGAAATTTTGTGCCGGTTCTATGTTTTTTTGTTTTTATTTTCGTAACTATTCTCCTACCAATTAATCGAATTTTATTTCAGAGGTTAATTTGCCGAGTGTTTTGTCAGGAAAGTAGATTATAATATAGTCAAAGCTTTACGGATATTATAAATGAGTAGGTTTGTCCTCTTTTCATACAGTAACGAATTGACAACAATGCTTTGTAATTTAAATTGACTTAAGATATTATTTATTTAGACACATACATATACAATATACATATAAAATGCATCTCACATACGGGCACGTACACTGAAGAATAGAGTTAGATATGAGATCACTTGCTCATAATATAGATTTTTGTGGATTTTTCAGTTGTAGCGTATTTTAGATTTAAATAATCTAAAAAATAAGTTATCAGAGAGATCGAGTAAAAATATTTATAATTATTAATTATTGTTAGCAGTAGTATTATTAGTTATGAAAATTTTTATATCATTTTTTGAATAATCCACGTTAATATTATAAATAATTAAAAAATATAAGTGTTATTATTGTCTTTTGTATAAATAAATATTTTTACTTAGTATTATTAGGTTTATAATATTTTTATATAAATGAGTTACGCAGGCTATTAATGTTTTCAATAAATAACAGCAAAAAAAATTTTAAAGTAAAAGAGTAACGAAGGGTAACGATAGAATCGGCAAGATCTGAATTGGTTATCTCTCGATCTCGGCGGTCGGTAATCCGTCATTTAACATTCCTGCAGTGGCACCCAGCCTGTTCAACTCAAGCGTACTAAATTAATATCGCCGTGATGTACAAGGCATTAAAATATTTTAAACGATGCCATTTATAATACGACGTTCAGATATCAAGTCGCAAGAGCACAACATATTTTATTCCACGAAACTGCCAAAAGACAATGAGGATGAAGGATTACTATCATCAGAGACTCGTTTTGTTGTTATTGTTTGAGGTTAGGACGAAAAAACTAAGACATTGAAAAAACGAAAGACGTTCGGATGAAATAAGGCATGACGGAGGGAAAGACGGTGTTATTAGTAAAAGATAGAGAGCGGCGCCCCGCGGTCTGTGTGTTTTTAGGGGCCTGACGCAGCGGGAAGCTTTGCCGCTTATCAACCCAATGAGTACAGTCTCACATTTTCCCGTATTATTTTTTCAATAAGTGCACGCGGAAATAGTTCTTTTTATATTGTAGGAAGTCACATTTTTATCTGTTTTCATATTGTATTAGGGTGTAATATAAGTACATCTTTATACAAACGCGACATGCCCACTTATTGAAAGTAGTCGATTCAACATTTTGTTGTTTACAAAACACACAGTTGCTGTCCAGGAAATATTGAAATTAAGAGTGTAATTTATAGCGATAAATCAATATCATATTTTAAAGCACTTTCATGAAAATCAACCTAATTTGAATAAACTATTAAAAAACGATATCAAACATATTTGTACTAGTAGCGGTAGGGTTACTTCGTTTTAGTATTAGTTCACTTCGGTAGATGTCGCTACTCGTACGAAATGATCCTTTTTGTCAGTAATATATTCTGAGTTCTCATAGCAACTTCCTAGCTATGTTAGGAAGTATTTACATTTAACTGTTGTATTAAATGACGTTAGTAAAATATAGCTTAATGATATTTTAGTAAAATCATTTTACATTCATTTTCATAAGCAATAATAATCATAATAAATGTTTAACGGTGGGATGTTATAGGCATGTACCTATAACATTGTATAATATTTTACTATTTTAAAGATAATGAAATAAAAGACTGGATATTTATCTAAAATTAGAAGATGAGATGAGAACATGTTTTATGTAGGGCATAATTATTTTATATTTTTAGTGCTTGTTATTTTGGAAATAATAAGTGTAAGAGCGTAGTAGAGGTACCTCCTAGTATATAAAATAAATTAAACTTATAATAACTAAACATTTTGCTAAAATAATAAAAGTTTAAATATTTCGCATTGTTTTGAGTAGGCACGACCAAACCTACCGCACGACCGCAATTCTCAAATTATTTATTCCATGAAAAACTCTAAAACTGATTAAACAATTATGTTGTCGGCGCGTGGACCCTTTAGGATTTTCAACCTGTCCTTATGTTGAAATTTTGATCTTAATTTTTTGCGCGGCAAGACCACTGACCCAATCTCAGCAGAATCCGGCTCACTGTTTTACACGCAAATGTCAGTACAAGTCAAAACAACCGTCGTCACTCTATCACGTCTCTGTTAAGATAAAAACAAAATTTCATGAAACCCCGTTGCTACGTTCCACTTTTTTCTCATTTCGTGCTAAATTGCCGTGTTAATGAGATATGATTTATATGCCAAAGATTTCGTTTTGCCTCTGTTAAATACGAACTGATATGGTAATGCGTAAAATTGAATAAATTGCTTGCATTCTCCATATTATGACAATCATGTTTTACTTTGATTGTACAGCGAGATTGTAGAGTGGACTAGGAGGGAAAGATAAAACATGTAGAAAACAAATGTAGAAATTAAATCTATATTGTAAGATTATATTTACATATCTATACAGATAAATAAAATTAAAGTGTATGTTTGTAATGAATTGAAAGTATGTACATATATAATTTACTTATAAGAAAAACACATTTTTTTCTGTCCGTCTGCTTATTCCGGCTGGAGCGATTTTGATGGCACTTTCACTAGTAGATAACTGCTTTTATAAGGAGTAAATTAGGCTACTTTATCTTAGAAAAAGAATAAGAGTTCCGCTCGGACACACCCGAGCGAAGCTAGGGTAAGCCGCTAGTTCAATATAAAATCACTCTTATATGTGCGTACCTTATTATGACCTTTATAAACTTTAACATAAAAGCTTCATTACGCTTAGAAATTTTTAAAATCTTAGAAATTCTTAAAATAGTTTGTTTACATTAGTCGATTTATTGGTTAGTAAAAAATATTGTAATATAAAAAAAAAGAAAAATATGACTTATTATAACCAAAAAGAAAATATTATTTATTTTTTTGTACTTGATTTTATAAGAGATAAGATGATTATTAATCTTATAACTAAAAGCGTATAAAATATTTATAATTTGCTCTAAGTTATATAACTTAAATTTAAATTAATTTAGAATTATACATATTTTATGAAGAAGTTGTATAGCTACTATATTATCTATTCTGGTAGCATTAGTGTGAAAACTGACAAGTAGCAGGGCATAGATTTATTTCCGTGCTGGGCAGTAGTGCATGAGGAGCAATCTGGCGGCATCAACTCAGGCGCAATCAACGATTCGTCTCGCCGGGCGAGGGGAAGCGGGGGCAGGCCATTCTCACGTAAATAATTACCGGCGAGGTTCAAATTACAAGGCGCCGTTGCGGCCTGCCGATACATATTCATCACATGTTCGCGCCGCGCGTGACTGCTTCCTCAGGGCAGTTGGGCCGAGTCCGAACTTACGGTACCAACACTTGTCTTTATCATTTTTACAAAGTAACTTACAACTATATTATTTTCACATGAGTAACATTATTTTTATACTAGTTGCCCACGGCTCTGCTTGTAAGTACATATAGTAAACGAGGCGATGATAAAAAATGGCCTAGGTCCATCCATCTTTGTGATGCAATGTCATCACGTCCTTGCTTTCCATCGAAATTTGTTTGGCTGTTTAAGGATGAAAAGGTAATAATATCACAAGTGGATTTTGTGGTTTGTCCGCAATAACAATGAAATTTGAGATATCCAACTTGTCTCACTCGTGACGATTTGCTGTAAAGGATTCGAAGCAGTGGAAACGAAAAATCTATACATATATTTAAATAATGAAAGACGAGACAGTTCAGTATATTTTTCTCCTCTGTTTGTAAACCAATTTATTTTTTGAAGTACTTCTTTTAGCGGGTTAGTGAAAAAATGATGAGAGTGATTGTTTTACGATTCGACAGATTTTGACTACAGTATTAAGTTAATCGTTATTAGACTGCAGTGTGACGTTAGTCGTCCCATAATATGGATATTAAACAATAAATAAAAAAAAGGATTTGCTGAGAAGACTCTTTGCGGACTTTTCTTCGATGAGCTTCAACATGTAAAATGTACGTTGCTTGATGTCTATGCTATCCTGGTAATCATGACAATCTGTAGCAGCTGATGTATAAGTCAAGGGCGGACAGCGAAAGGAACTTCGTTCCTGCCGGCTCCTCCCACGACACTGACCGATTTTTTTTCTATCATTAAGGTTAATTCAGGTATATATTTTTTTTTTCAGTTACAGTTAAGCTAACTAACAGATAAGATAACTAACAGTTAAGCTTACTAGCGGTAAAGCTAAAATGACAGTTACGCTAACCAACAGTTAAGCAAACCGACAGTAAAGCTTACTGACAGTTAACATAATATGCTAACCGATAGTTAATCTAACCGACTAACTAACAGTTGAGATAACTAACAGTTATGCTAACTAATGGTTAAGCTAACTGACAGTTAAGCTAACCGACAGTTATGCTAACCGATAGTTATGCTAACTAACGGTTAAGGTTATTGATAGTTACGCTAACTGACAGTTGAGCCAACCGACAGTTAGGTTAACCGACAGTTAAGCTAACTAACAGTTGAGATAACTATCAGTTAAGCTAACTAATGGTTAAGCTATTTGACAGTTAGGCAAACTGACAGTTAAGGTAACTGACAGTTAAGCTAGCCGACAGTTAAGCTATCTGACACATAAGCTAACTGACAGTTAAACTAACTGACAGTTAAGCTAACCGACAGTTAAGTTAACTAACGGTTAAGGTAACTGACAGTAATGCTAACTGAGAGTTGATCCCACCGACAGTTAAGCTAACCGACAGTTAAGCTAACTAACGGTCAAGGTTACTGACAGTTACGCTAACTGACAGCTTAGCCAACCGACAGTTAAGCTAACCGACAGTTATGCTAATCGACAGTTATGCTAACTAACGGTTAAGGTTATTGATAGTTACGCTAACTGACAGTTGAGCCAAACGACAATTAAGCTAGCCGACAGATAAGCTAACTGACAGTCAGGGTAACCGTCAGTTTAGGTAACAGACAGTTTAGCTGCCTCGGTGGTGTAGTGGCTAGCATGTACGGCTGCACACCCGGAGGTCCTGGGTTCGAGTCCCGGGTCGGGCTAAGTTTAGTTATTGTGTCTTTCTGCATAGTAAGCCTCAGTAACCGCCCGGAGTTGGGTAGTTGGTGGTGTTTCACCCCCGTGCCTCGGAGAGCATGTAAAGCCGTCGGTCCTGCGCCTTAACTCTCACCGGTCGTGTCGAGTGGTCGTCCCACCGGAGTATGAGAGTGATAGGAATAGAGAGTGCACTTGTGTCTACGCGTACACTTGAGCACTATAATATCTCCTGCGTAGTTGGCTAATCTCATTGAGATTGGCCGCCGTGGCCGGAATCGGCTAGGAGAACATCATCATTTTTTACATTATTTATTAATTACTTAAATAATTACTTTAAAACTTTACTCAATAAATAAACCATTTATTTTGAATATTTTTGATATACTAATTTTCTATATATTCATAGTCATTCATGTCGGTAGCCTTTCTCATTTATTAAATAACTAGCAGAACCCACGGCTTCGATCGCGCTAAGACTACAAAAAAATCTCTAAAATGGTAGGTTTCATACACACTTTCATCCCCTATTTTATCCCCTTACGGGATGAATTTCGAAAAATGCTAAAACACTTATTTATTTAATTGTATTGAGGAGCATTAACACCAAGTTTCAAGTAATTCTGATCATAAATATTTTTTGGGTTGCATTATATCGTGTTTTCCCGTGGGAATGAAATAATCTTCCGCAGTAAAAAGTAGGCTACGTCACTCTCCAGCCCTCCAACTATTTCCACACAAAAAATCAAAAACAATTCAAACACACTTTCACATTTATAATATTAGTATGGTTTATATTTTTTAATGAAACTTTTATCAATGTTATTTAATATCTTTATTTTATTGTTTTATGCTCTTTTTTCTACAAGTGTATAGTGTTGGCACGCAGGATAAAATTTTTGGAGTTATTCTTGTTTTATTTTGCCAAAAAAGTATACACACACACACACTTTTTTTGTTTAATAGTGCTTTAGTGTTATCAATAAAATATTTTGGCAACAGTTTTTTTTATATAGATAGGTAAAGACAAAAACAGTCCAGTACCTTTTTCTCCTCTGTTTGTTTACTGATTTCCTTTTCTAGGGTTCAGTACCCGAAGGCTCCAAGCGGAGTCCTGTTGCTGTCACTCACGTGTCCGTCTGTCCGTCGTCTGTCACGCAGGTTTTACAGCCAAAGTGTAAAAGCTACAGTCATCAAATTTTCTCAGTATAAGCATATAAAACCCAAAGCTATACAAATTGTCAAGAAATATTTTTAAATGTTTTTGAGAGGGGCTCCGAAGAATTTCTTAACTTCCAATTGACCTATGAACTTGAAAATTGTTGATAATGTTTATTATTACGTATATTTTACTAAAAATACAAACATATTGATAAAAAACTAAGACGGTGGATTTCAAAAAGGCTGCCATGTAAATTAAAAAAATAAGTGATTATGGTACGGAGCCCTTCGTGCATGCGAGTCCGACTCGCACTTGACCGATTTTTTTTGTTTAGTAGCTATTGACGAGCTTTACTGTTATAAATAAAAAATGTATTATGGTCGAATTTCGACCACTAGGCGAACACTAGTTAAAATAAAAGAAACGAAAATTTTAAAAATTTAGTATTATTTAACATGTCAGATAGGTAGTTAGTTATTTTTACATTTATTAAATTAGTATGAACTTGATACGCATTTTAGTATTTTTACTACCACGTATATAAATAAATATGCATAAATAAATAGATTATAGGAAACAAAATCTTAACTAACTTGTCTCTGCATTCCGTCATCTCTAGAATAATGCGAGTTGAGTATATGTTTTTATCTTTACCTAAAATTAACTTCCTTCAAGAGTTCCCGAACTCTCGGCTTATAAACTACTTAGTAAGTACGATAAGAGGCAGGAGTCGATCATCAACATCGATGAATTCTTAATTAGAATCATCAAAACGCACACCGGATGCTGTTTAAGCGATAAATTATGCACTCGGAGAGGAGTACTAATTTCGATGCCGACAAATTTTCCACAACCGCGATTTTAATGCGTTTCAAATAATGTCTGTAGGCAACGCTAAATGATAAATCGTCGAGGGAACGCCCTCGAGTCGAGTTTAGTATAAATGACTGAAGGTCCTGCTCCGACAAGGAAAGAACGAAGGAGATGGAGGCGTCTGGTAAAAAAGGAATGGGTTAGGTGAGAGCGCGATGGTGTTGAGATAATAACAGTGCAGTTCGCCGCGGCCGCTGCCCTGCTTTGAGATTTGCCGCCGATGAGCCCGTTGCCGAATATAACATTAGTCGTAATTTGAATATAATGCTTGCGAAATATATTTTTCTATTAATCGAAGAGAGTGGAAGAATGTGTCACCGGAAAACGGGTCGACAGGGCGTGTCGGGGTGAGCAAAACAAACAAGTTAATTGTATTTATTCAAATGCGGTGGGGAGCCGAGGGTGCACAGCCGTCGCCTCATGAATAGGCATGGGACGATCGGCCTTTTACGCTATGTGCTCCGTCATCCTTCGTTCTATAGCTCGACCGGAGTAGCTGGTTTATCATGTTGCATAGGACTATAGGTATGTTTGATGTATGAAAATAATAAATATGTTGGGACATTAACACACAGCACCATGTAGTTCCATGGTAAGCTACGAGACTTTTGTTATGGATACCAGATAGTTGTAAACTACACATATATTAAAATTTTAAATACACACATATTATAAATATAAACACCCATGACTGGAGTACAAACATTCGTACTGATCACACAAATGAATGCCCCCAAAGGGACTCGACCCCGCGACCGCTGGCAGAGCAAGTAGGATCACTACAAACTGAGCCAAAAGTGTCATCAAAATTGTATCTATGTAATTATTGTATAAATAATAACCACTAATTGTTTGATACGATAAGAAATATCTATAGGTATTAAAACCGTAAGTAAGATTATTACCAAATATGGCGTAAGGTCCAGTAAGTATGAAATAAGTGCAAAATATATGTATATTTATCTTAAAGTTGATATATGAGAAGATATTATTACCTATATTATACCTGCCTCCTAGTAGCCATTGAATTACAAAAAAATGAATTACAAAGGAATTAACTAAATTTCTAGAGCCATGATGAAATAGTCGATACCCAATTTATACATTTAGATTACCGAAGAGTATACACATAAGACAATAAGTTGAACTTTTACGCATTTTATTCATGAACCACAGAAATTCTTCTATAATTTTGAAAATCTAGATCAT